GCCGCTTTCTCTCTCACCCTCCTCCGCCGCTATTTCCGGTCGGCGCACACTGGAGTGTGGCCCAGTGTTTTGGGCACCGGAAATAGCACGGAGAGCCAGCGTGCACCCACCGCCCCCCGCGCGTGCAGCGTCTGCCGATACAGCTCAGTCGACCGGCGCGACCCCTCGGCCTTTCTGCCAAGGTGTCAGTCGGCCAGCCGCCGGCGTGACCGAGCACTGCTGGCCCGTGACCTCATCTCCCCGTTCACTGGGACACACTGTCACGCACCTCCGCGCTCCGGCACTTCCCGCGGCGTGTCCTCTCTTGATCCACGCGCCACTGAGCTAGGTCGTCTCTAACGATGTGAAACCTTGCCGGAAACCACTGCGTCGGATATAGCGTCGCGTCGACTGCTCCAGACTACTGCCGGTGCGTCTCTCACGACGCAGCCGCAGCTGACGCTGATACGACAGTTTCCGTGGCGATTCAGTACAGTTACGCACTCCGTCCGTGCGGACTGCGGGTACCGAACCGTTTCGCTCCAGTATGCTGCGCCGCCTAGCCTTTTAGTTCCGCGGCTTTTAGCCGGACGCGGGGCCGGGCCTGTCATTGGTCCGTGACAGGCTGGCTGTCATCGGCCCGTTTCAGCCACCTGAGGACAGCTGACAGCGGCCGGCGCGAGACGGAGCGTGGACGAGGATTCCGGAAACAGTGCAGACGCTGACGGTGCTATTTTGGTAGTTCTGTGGCACGTGTGGCTCTGTGGCACGGGGTGGTCTGTTTCCCTGACGCCACTTAGATGTGGTGTAGGTAAGTGTAAAAAGTTGTATATAATTTATGGATAATAGAATGACTCCTATTTGGACGAGCCCAGAGAAAACTGACAATGATTGAACTGCCAATGCTTCGACCAAAACAGAGCCCCGAGATAGTACCTATTCTTTAGATAAGCGGAAGACAATGTGACGGATGCGGGGTGGAGCCGCGAGGAGGCCTTGGGCGGCGGCGGCGCTGGGCCCGGGCGGGTCTCTGATGGACCGATTGGCGGCGGGCGTCACCGACGAACAGGGGCGGGTCGACCCGACGGCCCCGCGCGCGACGTTAATTGGGCGCCGCCCGCCCCTGGTCACTGCCCGACCGGCGCCCTCCAAATCCTCCTCCAAATGAATGGCGTGTCTTCAGTGCAGCAGGTGCGGGCGGTGCTCGACTTCTGAGCTCGTCTCGTGGGTCGCGGGCGGCTGCGAAGACAGGACAGTTTGGGGGCGTGTCAAACTGTGTGTCAGGTCACCCGGCGTGACCTCGTCTCCGCCGGGATTGGTTTTGTTTCGGGATCGGTTTGTCGGAACGGTCCGGCCGACCGCAGAAGTGACGGGGCTATTACGGACCGTTTTGGGAGCTCGGTGGGTGGCATTACCCTGTAGAGGTCAGCGCGGGTCTGATGTAGACCTTATCTTTGTCCATGAGAGCTGTCGGGGCAAAGGAAAAGCGTATCGAATCCCTTACAGCTTGGTTTCAGCTTGTCGTCTCGTTGTCCCTTCAGGGTTCTGTATCGGCATTTCATCGGCAAACTCTTTCCGCGTATTTCCGGGTATCTCAGCGCCCCTGAGCTGCGCGGATCCGCCCTTCCCGCTCCGCCCCCGCGGCCGTCTCCCCTTCCTCACAAGGCTGTCTGACTGACCCTCCGCCCTGCACCAAACGAGTGCACGCGGGGCGGCGGCCGATTGCAATGAACGGCTCTCGGCCGTAAAAACCGGGCGTTACCGTGCAGCGAAAGCGACCCAGCAGACGCGGCCATCAATAGCCCTTCCGGGCGGGGCAGTGCGCCGTATCTCGTCACTGATGCGCCAGAAGCGGCGCTCCTGTGCCACGAGCGTCGAGAGCGCCACGAACGCCCATGATCGGTGGTCAATAAAGGTGCGGTGCCGGCGGCGGTGATGGGTGCGCTGCTGACCGCGCCGCGCCGCCGCGGTATGGTCCAGCAAGGAATGCCGTCCACCGTCCAGGCCTGCCGTGCCAACTGGGAGTCATTCAGCCACCGACCCGGCCCAGAGACGTCTGTGATATGAGTTACGTCACCGTGTGACCGCCGGTGACGGGACGCCCGGTTGGCTGTCGCGGAGGCGCCGAGCCGTGCAGTGAGCGCCGCGTCTGGCACGGCCGCCGGCGCTGACCGGCGCGGCCACCCCATGGCTCATTTCCTGTCCGGACGGCTCGGCATCTGGACCGGCCTCGATTGTTGGCCCGGCGGGATCCGCTGACAGCCGGCGCTCTGCAGGCGTCTTCAATTGACGCTGATCCTCTAGATGCGCCCGCTTGTTGGCGAGATGGGAGCGCGAGGACGGACGGCCTGTTGGAACTTGTCATTGTTACCGTCTTCGGCAAGGCCGCTCTCTCCGCCCCCTCGCTGCTATGCTCCACCGTCGCCCTCGCCGACTTCGTCCCGCCGCCTACGACGGAGATCCATTCGCATTTGATCAGCGAGGCGCGATTCAAAACAGCGACCTCCTTTCGCGGTAAACACTCGTTCATCATTGTGAACGCTCGCCGGCTGCATTCTTCTCGACGGAGAATGTGTCTGGCGGGCGCCTCCCGGAGAAACCCCATTCCGGCCACCCGTCACGCCATTTCGGCCGGACGTAACGCCATTCCGCCGGTGTAATACGCTGCATTCCGCCAGCATTGGCACTCCTCTCGAAATATGGCATTGAATTTCCGTCAATATTCCGCCGGGCGTCTTTTCTCCACTAGCCTTTTGACGATTATTTGAGCCTGCCTCCGGGCTGAGGTATTCCCCAAGACGGGCATCGAAGGAAATTTAGGTTCAGAAGGCGCCCCCGGAGGTAGGTGCTTACCCAGGATGGTTGGCTAAACCCTTATCGGATGGTAGCATTTGACACGCAACCCGTTGCTGTTCTGCACAGCACGTATGTGGTCCACAGATTGTGGTATGGTAGCCACCAATCACAGCCAATTTTGTGATCATTTATTTGCCTTTTTCTTTTGAAAGGTAGATCACATCCGGTCCATGTTGCGAACCAGCTCACTCCAGCTTACCACCGTTGGTAACAAGTAAGCCACATTCGTAACGGTTCTCATTCAGCTTTATGCGCCAGTCGCTGACCTCATGGCACCCCTCAGTCTCACCCCTCACACCCAATGGTGGCTTACCGGGACCAACAGCCGAGCCGCGCACAATAGTCGGCATCCCATGCTCGCGACTCGCGCGCCCACCGACTGCCTTTTTGCCACCCATTGTGAGAAGGCAGAAGCTCAGGCGAATGCCACTGCAGCGTCCCAAAATTTGTTGATTTGGGTGCGAAATGACATCCAGCTGAAAGCCATTTTCCACTCTCACCTCCAACTTTTCAGAACAATTTTCTACTCTCAACTTTACCGAGAAAAGCATTGTGAGGATGGCCATTTTGCATCGCACATTTTACCACACTCGTATGTATATAGAAATTTATGTTACCTATCCTTTTATCACTCTTTTTGGGCCTTATCTGACCAGCAATTTTCCACTCACATCCCCCTTTTTGCTGATAAATTTTCCCCTCCGGCACCCAAGCCAGAATGCAATTTTGGGACACTGAATGCCAGCGCTGTGGCGCCGGTGGTTGAACCACGACTCTGCTCATAAACGCCGCCGCCGCTGCCGCCGCCGCCCTGTCCAGATGACAAACGATGCGCTGGCGCCGCGGCGCCGCGCCGTGCGGAGCTGTGTCAGCTCGTGTGTGACGTCACAGGGGCAGCTCACCCACGCCGGGAGGTCACAGCTCGGGCGGCGGGCCGTCAGATCGGGCGGCGCGCCGCGGATGACAGAACGGACGGGGAGAGGAGCCGGCACACCTCTCGGCGGCCAGACGGCGCCGTTTGAAGGTTTTGTCCGTCTGATGTGGTGAAGTAGCAGAGGTGACAGGCGGCAGCTTCTGTGCTGATGATCGTCTGAGCTTTGCATGGCTGGATGAAATGACGCCGGATCATAAGATTATGCAGGTTATGAGTCGCGATTCTCAGTAAATCGACGCGACAAAGAGTCAGTTATTCAGGTGAATGGTGAGTCAGGTGAAGTTCCGACGTGTTTGATCAAAACTGGGGCTTCACGGCTGGGTGAGGTTCTCTGGCTCGGTGTTTGATCTGTGTGTGAGGGCAGGGGCTCGACACAGGCCCCACTGGATAAGGGTCAGTGTTCGACCTGGATCCGCCTGCTGCTGCGGCGGCACCTCACATATTCCGAGCACGACTCACTGTCAGGGAACGCGAGCGACCGCGGCTGGGCGCTCGCTTACGATTCCACACGGACCGTCCCCCGCAGGGTCTCTCGCTCGGTGCGTCTCGCTTCTCTCCACCCGCCACCATGACTCCTGACTCGCTCACGACTCGGTGACATAAGCGGCGACTCGGTGATGTCAGGGCGGAAATCCGCCGCCGCCGAGTCAATGACTCAGGGAGTCGCTGAACCGGTGTTGACTCGGGCGGTGACGGGTGCTCGCCGTTTGTTGCACGGACCTGCCGGAGTCGGCGCTTTCTGCACGGTGCAGAGTCGCGAGGCCGGTCTCAGGTCTCCGGCCGACAATACTGGTCCCCGGTGGAGCAGCGGCGGCGGCGGCGGCGGCGGCGGGGATATCTCCCTGTCCATCGCCGTCCACCGGCCTCCGACCGCCGCGCTTCCAGCGTCGCCTAGAAAACCGGTATTATCCGCCCTCCCCGTCTTCACTATGCCTTCTGTATGTAGTCCATCAGAGCCCGCGTGCCGCCCGTGGTGGGCCACCCCGTGGCGTCACGTGCCGCCACGTGCCGGCCCGTGGCATCGGTCACCCGTATCCGGTTACTGATGAGCCGCGGACGAGGGTCGCGTGCCGCCGTGTCTCTGAGCCGTCGCCGCGCTCCGCACTCCACTTAATCATCGATTGCGCACGCGTACTGCCACGTCCCCGCGTGCAATGTGTTGTGTTGAGCGTGTATGTGACGTATGCATTCCTCTGCGGTGTCTAATCTATGTTCTCTGTTTGTGTTGCAGTTCAACTTTGTGGGCCGCATCCTGGGCCCGCGGGGCATGACGGCCAAGCAGCTCGAACAGGAGACCGGCTGTAAAATCATGGTGCGCGGCCGCGGCTCCATGAGGGATAAGAAAAAGGTAAGCGTACTCTGATACACCAGGCGCACGACATTTTTGACAGCAAGGACGACACTGCGCACTTTCCTGGACGGCAGCGCTGCTCGGAACTGATTTTTCCTTGTTCGGGCAGTTATACAGCACGCGCACGCGATCAGAAATGTCATTTCTGTGAATTGAAATAGGGTCAGAACACCGGCGTCGCTGCGGCTAAGGACGCTCCCGGCCCTGCTCACCTGACTTTACCCCGCTCACCTCACCGCACCTTACTCACCTCAGTCTCACCGCACCCCCGCATCTCACCTCTCGGCCGATCGACACTCCGGCTGTTATCCCGCCCGTTACGGTCATACCCGCCAGCTGCAACGGCCGTCCGCGCCTATATAACCGCTCCTCCCACCGCGCGCGGCCGCTCGAACGGCCCCAACCGCCCGCCTCTAAAACGGGCGCGGCGAGCGGCTCCGGCGGGCGTCTGGAGCGGCGCTGACATGGTGTCTGAGGTCCAGCGAGTGACACCTCGCCACGTGGCCGGCCGCCGAGGAACGTCCGAAGAAATCGGAGTCGACTGTCGACGTGCGACGTGTGCTGATGGAGCTGACGGGGCTGGAGGCGCGGGCGGTGATGTGCGCCGCCAGGTGTGTCCGTCTCCCGCGGAGGGAGTCTGAGGAACACCCTGCGCGGAGTGGAGACCAGACACCCCGCGCCGAGAAGAGACCTCCCAGAGCCAGCTAGGAGGGAGGCGAGAGATGCCGAAATAGTCTGGAGGCGAGCAAAGATGCCGGAAATTCTACGGTCGTGTGAGCAGCACCGAGTCGGATCAAACGTCTGGCTTATCCCTGGAGTCTGAGTGGTGTGGTCAGAACGTTCAAACTTGCGAAAGTGATGTGCAATTCCCGTTTGAACTGAGCAGCTAGGTACGCTTGTGGCATAAACCGCTTTCACATAAATACGCCAAACGCCTGTGCATGCATGTATGTATGCCGGGACTCGGCTGTATCAGCTCCGCGGACTGAACTCGCGGTTTTCACCTATCCGTGCTTCTATCCTCAGGAAACAGAAATCCTTCTCCTCCACGCCGCAACCCCCTCCGGGCTGGACAGGCAACTTTATCTCATGCGGGCTGCTCCCTTGGAGCGGCACCGCTGCTCCTGAGGGAGCGCACCCCGTAGCCGGGTGCAGTGAGTGCCTTGGGGCTGAAAAGCCTGTCCACTGGACGGGCTCAGCCCCGGCGACTCACTAGGGTGCCTGCCCAGACCAATGTCTCCCCCTAATTCCTATCATCCTTCCGGCTCTGCAATGGTCTTGTCGACCGAAAGGGCCTAACCCAACAAAATTTAAAAAAAAAAATTAACTCGCGGTCAGTGCGCCCTTGCCGCGGGAGACGGGCGAAAGCCGACTGTCTGGAGAGCAGTCCGTACGTGACTGATGGACTGGACTGCGACGGATTGACCGGCGGACTGCCGGCGGCCGCTCAGCTGGCTGCGGCGGCCGGCGATACGGGTGGACCGGTCCGCTCAGCCAGGGGCGTCTGCACGGGCTCCGTATCGGCCGCCGGAGCCGACCGTGCCCCCGGAGGGTCCTGGCAACACGAGGTCAGCCCGGACACCTCAGAGGCCAGGGCACACCCGGCGATAGAGGCGCGTCGGCCACTGCTGACTCACGGCTGACCGATCGTGCAGCTTTGTATGAGGCACGAGGCGCAGGGAAGCTTATGTGCATGGAGACTAAGATGATGAGGCATTTCTATAAATGATTCTATCGCTTCATTATGTGCTGTCATTCAGTGATTTCCGGTCGTGTACTTGTTAAATATTACAACCAAGTTGTACGTCATAATCTACTCTACTATTTTCTCATGAGCATGGTTCCCTGGGAACGATTCACATGCCTGCAACCTTGAGAGTAGCTCATAGGCGCAGGCAGCCTTGAAGTCGTTCCGTGTGAGAATTCGGTCCGTTGCTGGGTTTCAGTATACGGTGCCGCAGCTCCGTACGGCCGCTGCCTGAACCACACAATCTTCTAATGGCCCGCCGCTTGTCCGGCGCCCCGCCAGGTCACCAGGGGTCACACCGTGACCTATCGGGGTCGTGACCCCATTTGTCGGTGGGTAACAGGTCGCGTGTGCCGCTGTGGGGTCGCGGCCGGAGCCAAGCACGGCCCGCCCGCAGAGTCGACGGCCGGCGCCGGCCCTAATCGACCGCTTTCCGAGATCATTATCGGCGTACGACCGACTTTGTCAATTGTGAGAGATGATTTGGGCCTATCTGGTGGCCGATCGGCCGACCGACTGTCGCTGGACGGCCGCTCGGCCGGCGGGACCCGGCGGTGCGTCAGTGTGCGTCCTGATGCGCCGCGATCGCCGGCTCCGCGCCGCGCTGTCGCTCACCATTGCCGCATACCGCGGGCTCGCGCTGAATGGCAGCCCGGACCCGGCAGCTCTCCCGGCCAGCCTTTGTGCGGCGGACAGCGGCGGCGCCCCGAGCTCCGCTCAGCACAGCGCGCCTCGACGGGCGCCGCGAACCTAAATAAACAGAACACCTGGAGTGGCGCGACGTCCCGCCGGCCGCATACCAAGTGGCGAACCGCAGCGGACGTGCAGAGAAACCGCGCCGCCGTCCTCGCCGCCGACGGCGCCGGTCCTGGTGCTGGAGGAGCCTCCGCTGGTGCTGTTAGTGCGCCTGTTGTGCGGCACTGGTGCAGCTTCAGCCCACCGCCGCGCGGGTGGAGGGGCGGTTCGACACTGTCAGCCACTGAGTGGTGGTTAAACCCGGAGAAACAACATTGGGAGGCCGATACAGACCGGCCCTCCCCGCCCCGCACCCAACAGAGAGATCGTCACAGTTGAGCGGACACGCCGACGGCGGCGGTGGACGTTTTGCAACCGTCGGCGCCGGCGCGCGGTCGGCGCAGTCAACTTACCTTTCGGTCACGTCCGTTGGGACGACGTGCGGCGGCCGGTCCAGTCGGGCCCGCGCGGTCGCTGTCATCATCAGACCGAGCCGGCGTGACCGCCGCAGCGGCACGTGTCCCCAACCGCAGCAGATCGCGGGCCGAGATCGGCGCGGCGCGGACACCGAGCCTCTCAGCATAGAGCTGCCGTCAGAGGCTCCTGCCTGGACCGAGCGGCCGGGGAGGGCGACCACCGCGGCGGTATTGTGGATACCGCGGCGCACAGATGCGTCGATGTGGTGGATGCCGCGATCTGCCACAATGCCTTTGACTGATATCGATGATCAACTGAGATTGACGGCGGCCGATCGGCAGGAATCCGGAGCTGATTTGTTCCTTCTAACTCCACTCCGTTCCAATGCCGTTTGCTATGCCGGTGGTCGTTTTGCCATTTGCCTGTGTAAACAAAGGCGGCTGGCTTTTATGGTCGAGTCTGATGGGATCTGGTGACGGCCGCCGGTCTGGCGGAATCTCTCCAGTCGGCATCACAAACCTGTCCGTCGGCGGTAATTGCTCCTGAAAACCGGAACGGCCTAATCCCCGGCCGCGGCTCCCGCTGTATGCGGCAGGCGCGCCCGCCGACCCCGCTGGGAGTCTTATCCCTGCGGCTGGTCCGGGCAGCTTGTTGGATATGGTGAGCAACTGCTCGGGTACTTTGAGTCAGATTTCTGAGTAGCTTTTTGGAAAGCTTTCTGAGTAGGTTTCTGAGTATGTAAGTTCATCACTTAGTAGCTGGGTCTGTGCATCTGTATCCAGCCTGTACCTACTCCTTTGCTGTCCCTTCTCCTGCCCGTTCTGATACCTCTCCCATCTCCCGATCAGCTGATCGCGTATCGCTCGGCCCGATCAGCTGATGGCTATCCGCTCAGCTCGGTCACCCTGATCGGCCGGCCGGCCGGCTCGGTCCGCTTTCACGTCATTATTAGTGGCCACGCGACGTTTTAGGGCCGAGCGGCACGGCGCGGCGCGCGTCACACATCTAATGAGGGTGTGAATAAGTGCCGGGACCGGAGCGGTTTTTGTGGGCCCCGTCCGGCCGGCAGCGTTCCGGCTCACTTACTCTCGATCTGTGTGACTTCTGGTGTCTCTGCCTGACGGGGATACCGGGCACTCGGGAAGATACGTCCAAATCGGAGCCATTCAGCTGAGGGGCACACAATTAAAAGGTAAAATTGTAAGATGAAATCGCTTCTATGGATAACAGATGCAAGACACACACAAAGCTCTAATCGAATCCGACTGTCACATCCTCCTCATCTAGCCCTAACAGCCCAGCAATCCAACCAGCCGCCAGTCCAGCTCCAACAGCCAGCGAGAGCAGCGGCGGTGGCCCGGGTCCGACCTGGTCGTGCGGTGGCGTACCGAGTCCGTGTTACCGCCGACAGGACACGTGACCGGGCCTCTGTTACCGCCGCGGCGACACGTGACCGGCGTGGAAACTGAGCGGCTCATTTGCATGGTGCGCCGCGCGCGGCATTCCCGGCGCAGACGGGCGCTGAAAGGGCGCCAGTTGGGAGCCGATGGAGCGTTGATGGCGCGGAACAAGGACCGGGCGCCGGGTCACCAGGGGGTCAGCCGGGTCACAGGGGAGGTCACAGGGGTCGCAGGAGGTCGCGCGGAACGTCAGAGGATAGAAGACGGCATCTTTGTCATCATCCAGCCGCCCGGTCGGTCAGACATCACGTTGTTTGCATCCACTCAACCCCGACTCCGCTCGCCTCAGAATGGCGGCCCGGTGTTGTATAATACCCACGAGGAAATGCAGTCAGGACGTGTCGGCGAGTGGCGCCACACTACTCAGTCCGCCGATGGGACGATACTGGCGTTAGTGACGGTCCGCCCCGTGGACTGTCGTCCCTGGCTGCCGGCTCGCCGACTGGCTGGACCAGTGCTGCTCGCCGACGGTGGACCCGACGGCTACCTGCTGCGGTGGCGGCGGAATGGTAAACCGGCCGACCTCGCCGAGACTCGACCTGAGTCGACTCGGCGTCGCCAGGAGCCGGGACGCGTCATGTGCGGTCTCCGGAGCTGTGCATGACGGAACGATGACGGCAGAATGATGACGGGACATCGGGTGAGGGAGGACGACAATGCATGACAATGAAGGCTTGCGCTACACGGCGGCAGAAGCGGACGCGGGAAGTCGCTATGTCAGCGATTACTGATGGACACAGCACAACACAACTGAACTGCTGATGAATTATCCGCACTCAAGAGATGGCGTGACTCCAGCTTGCTGGTCTCGCCGCCCGCGGTTGAGCCACCTGAGGTGTGGAGAGCGAGATGTGACTTCATGGATGGTTTCGATGGTGACTTCAGTCGAACCAAGGCTGTTGAGAGGTGCAGTGAGTGCCGGTGAGATAGGATGGGATGCGGTGAGGTGAGGTGAGCGCGGTGGTGACGCTGAGAATTGAGAGACAGGTGATGGCAGGTCCCATCGGACGGCATTGGGTGGAAGAAGTGAAAATCGGCCCGGTCTAGATGATGCAGTCCCTGTTACATGCCTCCGAGCGGCTTCCTGAGCTCTGCAATACCAGTATTCCTGCCGCCGGTACCCGAGTTTCGACCTCCCGACTTTCGACCTCCCGAGTTTCGACCTCCCGAGGTTCGACCTGCCGCAGACGGTCGCCATCTCAGTGTCGGCCCTGAGCCAACCGACGCAGTAACAGAAACGTAACGTGACGCTGCATGACCGCCGCGTCACACTCGAGAGCGTGACGACGCATCTCGCTAGCCCTGGCCCTCCTGGCTCGTGACCTCTCACCAGGGTGAGCCCATCGGGCTGTTTCTTTGGGCGACAGGATCATAGTTTCGTGACCATTCGCATGCAGCATTTGCCCTGAACCAGCTGAGTGCACGATACATCAAATTCTGGCTGCATGTATAGCGGACCCAGCGCAGACTAGTGGTAAAGGAATTTCTCTATTTTGAAAGCTGATCTGCTCTGGAGATTTTCGCTCATGACACAGCCTCCTGGCTCATAGTCTGCGTCTGACTCCTCTCTCAGTTGCACTCTGGACGTGGCAACAAACATGAGCTTCAGTGGTCAGGTGCTGCGTAATTAGCATCAAACACCTGCAAACAGCGTCGGCGACAGCGGAGATCGCAGATAGGGCCGCAGGAATGGCGGGCGCGGCATCACGAACTCACCCTCTGATCGTGCTGCGGACCCGGCCGATCACGTTATGGCTCGTCATCGCTGCTGGGGCACTCGCGATCCAACGCTGATCAGCTCGCGATCCAACGCTGATCAGCTCTCGGTCCAACGCCGATCAGCTCTCTTCTCGATCAGATCTCGATCAGCTGTCGATCAGTTTTTGATAATCTCGCGATTACCTCTCGATTATTTTTCTCTCTGTATCTATCCTCCCCATTTCTTTAATCCGCCGTTTTTGTAAGCAGTTGACCTCATCTGGCTAATCTCGTTTCTAACCTTTCTCACCATCCCAACCTTTCCTGTCTTTTAAACGCGTGTTTTTGGTCCACTCCCAATCAGCTTTCGAACCCGATCCAATTCAGGTCATGTCATATTCTCTTTTCAATCGTACCCTTTGACCTCCTCACCCCTTTACCGCTCGTGCGGGCGCAGTACTCACATCCTCACCGCCTATCTCTGCCACCGCACATGGCGACCGGCGAAACCCGTCCAGCAGCGGTCAGCCAGCTCGGGGCCCGCGAGACCCGAAGTTGGCCTGATAGCTCTCTAACGGCGACCCGAAGCTGATGTGACGGCAGCCCAGTGATGACCCAGCGATGACCCAGCGGTGACTTTATGTCGACTGGCCCTGTCGAGCCGCGGCCGGCCGCTGCCTTTGAAGTGGCTCTCTCGGTGGCGCGGTGACAGCTGGTGTCGCTCGTTCTGCCTAACGACCCTGGTGTGACCCATCATGGGGCGAGAGCACCACCCATAAAACGCCGCGCCAAAGATACTTCTTATTAGTGCCGTGGCGGCGAGCTTCGTCGGGAATTCGCCGGCGTCGCGACCGCTTCCGGCCAAGGAGTTTGCTCGGGACAGGAGACAAATATTTGACTTCCTGAGACGCTGCAGTGGTGGGCATTTTATTCGTTTGTTGGCTCCGTGCCCCGCCGGGCTGAGAGACAAGAACAGGTCTGCTCGACCTTGGGTATCAGAAGAAAGGTGACATGTTTTCATGGGAGTTATGGTATGCATATTCAATGAAGCTGTGCTACGCTTTGGTATGCTCATTACAATAAAGTATAGAGGTTTCACACGTCATCTGAAAATGCAAGTCTAATTAAACTCGAGCACAAATAGCGCCATCTGTTGTGGAGATGCGGGATTTGCATGAATCCAATCGTGGTCTATTGGAGGACTCCTCCCACTTCAATTACCGCTCACACTCCTGTGTTCTGACTCGCCCGACTCCATCCCTGGCCGTCGTGGGAGCGCATCCCTCCGGTGAGCTGTTGTTTTCCTCCGCTGCCGTGTTCCGATGTCACCGTTGTTCTCCGTGATGCGATGACGATGTGCCGACTCCTGACGTGGGAACCGGGTCGATCCGGTACGCCGCGGATGGACGCACACGACGGGTGGAACGCCGGGTGCTGAGGGGACGGGTTACGGTCACTGCGTGTGATAGGGGTGAAATATGACCGGTATGCGCCTGATGATAGGGGATTGCGCCGCTCTGCGTGCGGGCGTGACACGCCGGAGACTGGTCGTGGGTCGTGACTCGCGTGCTCGTAAAGATTGTGATGTCTTCTCTCATTCCAGTGTTGAAATGTCTCAGCGTGCGCGCTATGCACTCACTGACATCGTCGCTTGACTTGTTAGCCGGACTTGTAGGCGACAAAAGTGCGTCTTCCTTTCTGTGATTTGTGTCGTCTTGACACCTGTTTTTCTCCTTGATCCAACAAGAAAGCGTCCCCCTTTGCTTCGTGTCCCCGTGTCGAGTGAGTGAGATATCCTCATGGCCCACTTCCCCCGTGGTCCCGCCCTGGCAACTGTCCGTATCCGGCAGCGGCGCCGTACCTGCCGGCGCACCGCCGTCTGTTTTGTCCCGCCCACGTCCTCAGAACGGACGCTTTTTGTCCGCGCTCGACCCATTGGTGTGCGCCGTTTTTGTGGCCGAAAATCCCTCCCCTAATGGCAACATTGTGTGGCATGTTCGGTGGCGAGAACTGATTGCCTCCGCGCGCTGGGTGTGGGTCGTGTGGACGATGCCAGGCCGTGATAGAGGCTAACGCACCGTGTCATCGTTTTAGCACGGCTGTCTGACGCATTGTTTGGCCGCTTTCAGGAGGAGCAGAACCGGGGCAAGCCCAACTGGGAGCACCTGAGCGATGAGCTGCACGTTCTCATCACGGTGGAAGACTCGGAGAATCGGGCGGCGGCCAAGCTGCAGCGGGCCGTCGACGAGATCAAGAAACTGCTCGTGCCGTCGGTAAGTGGTTTGTGGATGAAGTCGTGATACATGGCTATCTAGCAGAGATTCGGCTGAAGGGCTCAGTTTCAGATTTGATCTTTCGAGGCCGGTAGGTGACATGACAAGGATATAGGTATTCCGATGCTGAAAATGAGCGTCGAAAATATCTCCATCGCGATCCAAAAATATTTTCGTACGGCATCCTCAAAATATTGCCGGTTATCTCAGGAAATGGTCAATAGTTTCGCGATTCCCGGTACGTCATGACCTCCGTTGCATCCGAAAGGCACCCATCATACATACCTGTCGCACCCCTGGGGCATCCGCCTCACTTCCGTCTGAACCGGGGTCAGTTTCTTTCTCTCTGCGGGTGCCGTCGGGCATGGGACGCGCCGCCGCGGGGGCTGTGACCTGACACCGTGCCGGCGGCCAATTTTGCGGCCGCTCCGCCCGCCCCTGTCGACGGAGACGGCTCGACAGAAGGCAGGTCGGCCCGACGGGTGTTTGCGCATCCGTCGCCGCCACGCGCGGCGCGTGTTGCCTTTGAACGACTGCCCAGAGCGGTCGGCCTGTCCCGCTCTCCTGAAACGCCTCGGGACGGCAGAAAACGCCTGGAGCTGCCTCCAGAGACGAGCTTCTGTCAGCTGGCGGCGACGGCGACGACGCTCTGTGACGACGGCGACGACGGCAGCGACGGGCTCTGAAAACGCGTCACTGTCAGCGCCGGCCGAGTCGGGGCTCCGGGTGTCTCCGGGGAGGCGATAGGTGTCTGCTGAGATGGGACCTCTGTCAGAGGCGCCGACTGGAGCGCGGGGGCCAGGAGACGCGCCCAGCAGAGTGACGAGTTTGGATTAGCGCCGGTGACAGTCCGACAGACCGGGATTGGGAGGAGATTGGCGTTTCTGGGTTCCCGCTGACAGCAGCTTTGTTGCTCATACAGAGCGACCCGAATAACCACATGTGAAGAGATTAAGCAAGAATAAAAGTCAACAAACAAGCACGGCGAATGATAATGAACTGGACTCGCGTGCCGTATGGCTGATACCGCCGAGGCAAACAGGATCTGTTGTTTTATGGCCGATCAGTGCCGTATCGAGTCACATAGAGTCCGACTGCATCTGTGATCGGCGGTGCAAATCCTGTCGGCCACAGTCGCCGGCCGGCGCCGCTCCGCCGCGAAAGGGGACGAGGCCAGCCGGTTACCGTGGAGGGCAGCTGCACTGGCGGCGGCACGGGAGCTCCTCGTCCCCTGTCACGCTCCCCTGTCCCGTCCGGTTCGGCACTGTCCCAGCTATCCCCTGTCCTGTCCGGTTCGGACCTGTCCCAGCCGTGCACCGATCTCTGTTCACGTCTATCCTGTCCCCGTGCGTCATCGTACCATGTTGTCCTTTTTCTCTCCCGTCCTTTTCTGTGTCATGATCCCGTTTCCGCCTTGCCATCGTTTGCGCGCGTTTCCGTGCCTTTGAATCGTCCCACTCGTGCCGTCATTCCCTGTATAACCCTTTCTTTACCTGGATCCCCGTCTCGTTTTCGTGCGTGAGGTTCCAATATTCCAATATCGTCGTGACGGATTATATGCTCCCGCCTCTCCCGTCATGACCATCAGCTCAAGCTGCGCTCATCCCATCCCGTCTGAGCCCTTTTCCTAAACCGGCATCTGCCTACCTGCTTCTCTCAGCGCGACCAGCCAGGAGCAACAAAAACTCTTTGTCCTTGCGGCGGCGGCGAGCTGGCGCGGCTGAGGAGGCTTATCCCATCCGGTGTCCTCACAAAACATTCCGACCAGCACTGTTGACCCAGGTCGACCATTCCTCACTGGAGGAGGGGCCGCCGCTACTCTAAACGATGTCGACACAAAGCTGCCGGGAGAGGCGGCACGTCACAACACAGTACCAAAGTCATTGTCGGGCGCACTGGCAGGAAGTCTGATTCAGACAGGCGGTCAAGCCGTGACCGTGATATGGTCACGAAAGAGTGCGTGTCAGCCGCTTCGTGACCTGGACGGTTCGACCTGACCTGACCCGTCGCGGTCCGTCTCGGGGTCGTGGTACTGCTGACTGGTCATATTTGAGTGCCCGGTGACCGGTGAAGGTGCTTGGAGACGGCCAGGTGGGCAACGGTTGGCGGCGGCAGCGGCACGGCAAAGACGTCAATTAGCCACCCAGCCAGGCTGGCAGACAGACAGGCAGGCAGTCGCAGTCAGACAGGGATGGCAAGTTAGTGCCGCTGGTCACAGCACTCGAGGTGACTCACGATGCCCAGAAGGGCGGCGTTCCTCACAGTGCAGCCCCTAGAGGGCCGGCCGACCCCAGTGACCGGGGTGGACCGCGCGCCCCAGCGCTGACCGTTCGCGGATCTCGTGCTGAGAGACTCTTTGTGGCCGCTCGGCAGAGCTGTGACCGATAAACGACGCCTTGGTACGACCAGGGAACCGCAAGGGTCGTTTGGACATTACTTAACAGCCCAGTGACGGTGGACGGAAAATGTGAATGTTCTTGAAGACATCATGCATGTCTAAAGATTAAACTTTCCTAAGGCTTCCTTCACTCATGGTTATGTTCGACAGTTTTCTCATGCTCACCGGGGAAAAAAAATATGCTATAGCTATCCTTTCGCCATATCGCCCGCCTTGTTCCGATCGAGCCCCACACGTTTTGATACGTGCTGCACGTGCCCCGTTGCGGCGCCGTGTCGGTCCGTGCGGTTCACGTGCGCCTCACCTGACTGGGCCGCGGGGCACGTTTTCGCACGGCTGTTAAAAACTCGGCGGCGGCCGGCCACGTGACTTCCTCTGTTTACGGTAGGCGTCGGCGCGGCGCTGGCGGCCGCCTCTGTGTACATTGCCTGCGGGACGGCGCCGCCGTGGCACCTGGGTGTGCGCGACCGCTCCCAGATCAGCGACCGAACGGAGGGAGATGGAGAGCGGAGGAGAAGGAGGGACGGCAGAGAACGGACGGGACGGCGGGACTCTTCACTCTTCGGGGACGAGGCCGTCCTCTCTGCCTTCCCAGTCGACAGAGCGGCACACCGTGTGGCCTGTGCGAGCTGCGCGAATATTTGGCTGTGTATATTAGGATGATATGCTGCTCATGGCTTCACTGACCTCAGAGAGGCTAGTGAAGGGCCCGACGACGCTGGTGGTTGCGGTGGGGCTCGGATAGAAGGTGTTGGATCCCCGCTGGATGCGGTAAACGCCGCCGCGTTTCTGTCAACTCCTGCCGGGCTTGATCATACTCATCCTGTCATCTTGTATATGCGGCTCTGCGTGAGCCTTCAGAGATCCAAATAAACCGAGTTCGCAGCTGCCGACTGCTGAGTCAGTGTGACGTTTACCGTTTACGGTCACACCGTGTGACCGTCACTCGTACCTCTGCCTTTCCAGCTCTTTGGGCTCATTTCAGCCTTTCCTCCGTCCGCGCCGCTTCTCTGCGCTCGATTTGTCTCCCTCTGTCTCAGTCCCTGTCCGGGCTGCACTCTGGTATGTCTGCTCTCGGCTCCCGGCGTCTGGCAAGTGGCAAGTGATAGCTCCTATCGATGTAACCTCTCCGCCGCACCCCGAGAGGGACCCGACGGTCGCCCGGTGCCCGCGACCAGACACCACTGCCGCGCCGCCGGCCGTGCCGCGACCGGTAAATAAATAAACGTCCCTGGGCCGCCGGCGTGTGTCAGAGACGGCGTATATACGGCGCCGGGAGAGCCGAGAGGTCGTGACGGCCACATGGAAGGACGCCGGGAGGTGTTATGCACAGCGCACAAGGAGTGGGAGGTCGTGAAAGAACGATGCATATTAATGGTATTTGCTATTTAATACAGAAGCAGCAGCAGCAGCTGTTTAAGTAATGATGTAGCAACTGAGCTTGCTCCGATCCTCGCTGCTCCAGAATGCCTCCGCTAGCTCACGTGTTGTTTGGTGTCATTTCCTGTTTTCGCGACTATTTTCGGTGTGATTTCAGCGCGCGCGTGCTGAAGAGTGTCGGCGACACTCACGGAAGGCTGGCCAACAGCCGTCGATTGGCCTTTTGAGGCGACACTCCGAGACGATTCGCTCACGCTCTCACCTCGCGCTCGGGCCACAGCGGATGTTTTGCCGTGTCGGGGCACGCACCGAGGGGCGCGTGGGAGGAGGCGCTCATCTGGCCAATCATCAGCTCCGGCGGAGCGTCATCCTGGGCTCAGCGGCGTCATCAGAGCCGGGGCGTCAGCGGCGTCATCAGCGGCATCATCACGTTGGGCGTCAGCGCGGACCGCCAACCAGCGCGGAACTGAGACGAACCGCGCGCGTCAGCACGTCGAAATAGCCGGAGTCAATATTTTCCCAGGGACTCGAGCACCCAACGTCAGGCATCAGCGGAGGGGAGGGGGCAGGTCGGGAGAGGTGAGAGGCGGCGGCGGTTTCGGCGGCGGGCACTGCCGGAGGATCGCTCGGCACTGATTAATCACCGGCTGCTTGGTTTGGCGGCGGCGGGCGACCGGTATGTAGCGCGCTATGGACGGCCGCCCTCCCCCGCCCTGCCCGGTCGTCAGTCGGCTCAGCTGGGCTTGGCAGCGCCGCCGGCAGCGCGGCCAGCCGGCTCTGACCGCATCGGCCCGGCACGCTGTCTCTGACGTCACCGGAGCGACTGACCGGCCCGGCCCGTGGCACTGGGGACGGCCCCTGTAGGTGCCCCGTCGCCGCCTGCGCCGCGCCGCCGCTCTATCTCGCCCTCCCTGTGGATCGCAGTCGTCCGTCACGCGATACAGTTCTGCACGGGACCTCAGGGGCCCGGCGGACCCGATGACTGACTGACGAGCCGTCCAGAGCCCCTCTGAACCCCTCGGCAGCTCAGCTGAGCCGCGAGAGCCGACCTCTCGACTGAGACACCTCTCGGTCAGGTCACCCGCTGTGCCGGAGCGAGAGGTCTCACACGTTTTGTCGCTTCGTTTTCTCACCGCTGAGCGCAAACCGGCTTGTCTCCCCAACCTACTGCGTCTCCCATTTTCGCGTGTATCTGTTGCGTCAGTGCTTGTGACACCCCCGTTTTTCCATCATCACCGACCGCCGCCTCGCACGGCGTTTCTCAGAGCTGTCGATTGTCAATCGGTGGCCGGCGGCCTGTCCCGCACGTCCTCAGCATACCGAGCGGGGCGCCGCCGTGTTGGCACTTTTTACCGATGCGTTTATGGGCCGGTCGCGGCGCGGCGCTGTCGCATTTCGCCCGCTTTATTTGGCCGTCCATCGATATGTATCGGCGGCCGTGCAGCGAAAACAGGCTGGCCGGGAGCGGCGGCTGCGCGGCGGTCGGTCGGTACTGCGCCGCGTCGCTCGGACGCCGCTCTGAGGTCGGCCCGCCGCTCAGCCGCTGCTGCTCTCACGGCTGTGGCAGAGTAGCGGAGCTTGTAGCTGCGGCAGTGGGCGCTCCCTGTCGCTCCCTGTCACCTCCCAGGTGTACGCTGTTCGGTACCGTCCATTGTTCATCACGATCCCCGTCTCGGCGGTCGCGCGGAGGGTGGCGCCGCCCGCCCGGTCCGCGACAGAGCTGTCGCCGCTGAGAAGCCCCGTGGACGGGGTTCCCAGGACTGTGTGGCGCCGTACGTCGTCGTCTAAACTGGCTCGGTGACGGCTGCATTACTCACCTTTCAGCTGCCGTAAGCGAGGAAGCCGAAGCTGCTACCCGGGCGGCAGACAGACGTCTCCGTGCTGTGTTGTGCCGGCTAGCTCGTTGCCATGCAGCGGACATCATGTTGTCACCGGGGCGGTCCACACACATCAGCTGTCTTTGGGGACACGGCCGGCTTACTGAGTGGTTACTTTTGGCGGAGGCATGCCACCGGAAACCCGCCCGCTGTCCACCACCGCTCGCTGCCCGCTGGCCCGCCCCGCGGTCGTCACTGTCAGCCCCAGCCAGAAGTGCGCGGAGAGCAGGGCGGGGCAGACGTGCCCTCCGTGTAACCGCTCTGATCCTGAGTTGTGTCGGTCGGCGGAGCGCGGCACGGTCCCACCCAGTACCTACTGCACCCGGCGGCGAGGGCGCTGCGCCGTAATATCTGAAGTAACGGCCTCACTCACGCCTGATCGCCATCCGCGCGGCCGGCGCGCTCGTTATATTTCGCCCTGCGTGACCTCAGCTCAGGTGCAGAGGTGCAGGGTACCCTGCAGCGCCGGGGGAGGTCCCCGAGGGGAGGGGGTGCCGGGGAGTGGGACGGTGCCGGGCCGACTGCCAGAGGGAGCGCCACAGGTGGATATCAAAGCACCGGATGCGGCGTCCGGCTGCTGACCGCTGGCAGTGTGAATCCGCCCTGTCGCCTTGATCTGACCCGCCTGCGTCGCTGTGGGGCGCCGCGGGGTAATTCAGGCCGTCCGCCGCTTCAATTTCGACGAGATGTATGTATGTACGACTGAAGAGGGTGGGACCGGGGGGAGCTTCTTGGTCTCGCGGCTCAGAGAGTCGGGTCACGCTTGACCTTTGAGTTGACGTCACTTAGCGGCGGATATGGACGAGCATATACCGGTCGGGCTCTTTTTAAGTGCGGCCTTTTTCGTACTGGGATTACTGAGGTTTACTTTCAACTACCGAAAGTCTTCGTCCCGCTCGCGTCGCGGCCATCTCCCTCTCTTAGCGAGCCCTCCCTGCCCAGCCCGGGCTGGGTAATTTCACGCCCTTAGCAGCGCTCCGGGCCGGTCCGTCTCACCCAATTGTCCTTGGTGTCATCAGCTGCTGCACAGTTAGCGAGCTCTGTTTTCCAGTGGCTGACTCTGGAAAGTGTTGTTTGGCTTCCAGCCGACCGAACCGGCCTGAACCGCTGCGCCGTGCTAAAAACACTGAAAACGGGTTGTTCATTCGGCGAATGGGGGGCTATTTAGCGGCCAGTGAGCGGGCCATTGTCTGGTGGGTCAATGTGTCTGCTGTTGATGACGGTTGTGACGCCGTGGCGCTCTGATGTGTCGTCCTGACGTCCCGCCCCGCTGAGCCACAGACGCCGGCCGGGCCGCGTTGCGTCACTCGTCGCTATCTATCTAAATTAACGTGCCGAAACGTAAATATTATTTCTCCGGACAGTGCAGTGACGTTCTCGCCTGTTCCATGACGCGATCGGCGCCGTTATAAATCAGCTGCCGGGCACTGGTCTCGCGATCTACAACTGATGTGCGGTCCGAGATGGGAGATATGTGACCTGACGTGACCCGGGCTGACGCTGACTGATGTGCTCTGTTCGACAGGCGGATGGCGAGGATGAACTGAAGAAGCGGCAGCTGATGGAGCTGGCGATCATCAACGGAACGTACCGGGACTCGAGCAGTGAGTAGCGGTCTACTCTGCCGGCTAATGCTTCTCGCTCTCACACAACACTGCCTGACTGCCTGGCTCCCCGCCTGACACTCCGCCTGAGCTGCAGTCTGACACTGCTTGACACTCAGCCTTCCCCGCCTGGCACTGCTGCCAGACAACCTCGTCTTTCCGTCTCTCCACATCGCTTCTCTAACGTTCCTCGCTTCTCACTGGATCTCTGACCAGCTGTGATCCCTCTCCTGTCCTCCCGTGTCGCTATGCTCGCGCCGCGCCGTACCTCGCTCCTCTGGCTGTTCATCTCTGGCTCAGCGCCTAACGTCTAACGCGCCATCTATGTCCGTAACCGCCGCATTAAATGTCGCCTCTTTGCATCTCGCCAGCGGCCCAGCGGCCGCTGGGCGCCGATTAATTGCTGGGTTTCTCCCTCGGTGCCCGACTGAGGTCTGTTTCGCTCACTAACGGGCCGCGTCCACCCGCCGTAACCCATTAACATCACTGGGGACGCGACTGCCACGCCGCATGCGGCCGGTCGCGCAACTACGAGTTGCGCGCGGCGCCGGCAGATGTCTCGCTGAGCGCCGCCGTCTGTTTTCAGAGCCGCCGTCGGAGTCGCTGTCTCTGTCTGCTGGGCTGCCGAGTTCAGCAGGTAACCTGGTGCTGGCCGCCGCGCTGTACTAACGCTGCCGGGGCTCGCTAACCGGCGCGTGGCGTGCACACGCTCCACCGCTCCACCGGCCGCGGCTAATGGCTCCCCGGGCGACTGACAACCCGCCCCCGGTGCCCCGGTTCCACCGCGTCTAACTGTCGGACCGACCGATCAGGCGTCCCTTCCGCTGTCGTTTTTGCTGTCGTCCTCTGTCCGTGCCGCCTGGGTGTGTGTCTGAGTTGTGTGTCACGCTGTAAGGCGCTGTGAGTCTGAGATTGGCTGCCGCCGGCGCCGTCCCCGCCCGATGTGAGGTGTGTTGGGTGGGGGGACGGTCGCGTGGCTGGTGTTGTCTCTGGCACCAGAGTGTCACTGTGGTTTGGTGCGAGGAGGGCTGGGGAGGGCGTCAGTGCAGTGTTCTATCTCGCTCATGCTCCGTTGAGCTGTGTTTGTTTGTTTATGTAAGTGTCCCTTGGTATGAGAGCAGTGTCGGGCGTTGACTGATCGACCTTTGCAGTGTGCTACTCTTTCGACTGCTGTTTGACAGTGCTGTTCGAATCAGTGCTCTTTTTCATACCACACTTCTATCACCACCGCCCCTCTCCCCGTCTCCCCGCCCTCTCTAACCTCTCTACCTCTCTCCCCACAGCGGACGCGGCGCCTCGCCTGCAGCTCACTCAGATGGCCAGCCTGGGCGGCCTGATGACCTCACAGATCCGCACGCCGGCCACGCTGGGCGCGCCGCTCATCCTCTCGCCGCGGATGGCGGCCGGCACGGCGCTCATCAACTCTGCCCCGCCGCCGCTCATCTCAGCCGGCGACGCTGCGCTGCTGTACGCCCAGTACGCGCCCGACTACGCGGCCCAGTACGCCGCGCAGCTGGCGCAGCCGCTGCACCTGGCCGACTACTCGGCCGACCCCACCGGTGGGTTGTTCGCGCGATGACTCGGCTGACGGCCGAGCCGGGGAGCTGCGCAGATAGAGCGCCGCCGAGCTGACGCGCCGTGCGCCGCGGCGCGCGCGGCTGGTGCTCTGTATAGTGATGGGCGCGCGGACTGGTGTGAGCCCCGCCGAGCTGGTGACACTGTAGAGCTGGACTGTATTTAATTGGACGCTTTGATCGTTGGTTGGTTCGTTCGTTTTAAGAAGCTTATTTCATGTTCATGTGCCGTGAGAGGAGAGCCCGGGTCGCTTCCATTGCCATTCTGTACTGTGCGTGTGCGCGCGTGTTGTGTGTCTGTGTGCGGGTGTGTCGGTGGCGGCTCTGCATGCTTCCCTGGGTGTCCGTACACGTTGTGCTGCGGTGTGCTGTTAGGTTTATTTATGCTAGTGTTAGCCCGCCTCCGCCCTTGATCGGCCTGTCCCCTACCCGTAACAGCCGTCCGCGCGGGCGGCGCCTAACTCTGTAACCGGCAGCGTAACCCGTGTAACCGGCCCGCCGGCGGCGCAGTAACCACCCCAGCGCCCTCACAGTCTAACCACCACCGACCTGGCAGCGCCTACCGCGCACCAGGCCAGTCTGCCGTCCACCGAGTCCATAACAACCAGCAGCGAGCCGGCGCAGCCCGGCGTAACGCCTCCCGCCGGCGTCACTACCCCTCCCCGACCCTCTAACACCTCCCCGCAGGGTCCGCGGGCGCCGCGCGCGGAGGGTACCCGCTGCCCCCCCCCCCCCTCTGACCGCAGCTGGACGCACGCCGCAGCTAACTGCTACTAATCGTCGTCCGGGCTCTCCAGCCGGGGGCACGGTACGCGACTGAATCGTCTGGTGCTAGTGACCGGTGGCGGCGCCGCCGACCGACCGGAGACCGGCGGTAGCGGCGGCGCCCACCGACACACCGGTCCTACTCTGTATTGGCTCGTATTTATTTTTGTATTTGATGCCGCGGCGAGGGTGGCGCGGCGTGCGCCGTCGCCGCTGTCTATGTTTTGTTCCACGTTTGTGGCGCGTGCGCCGGCCGCCGGCTCGGGAGGCGGTCATCTTCAGTAGCTAGTCAGCGGGACCGGAGGCGAGGGCCGTGCGAGCGCATCTAGTCACAGGGGGTGCCATAGCGGGGCCAGTGGTGTGTGTGCCTGGGTCGGGCCGGGCCGGGCCGGCCGCCCCGTCTGACCGCCCTGTGCGTCTAGGTGCCGGCAGCGGGGCCAAGCAGCGGCGCGTGTTGACTCCGCAGGGCCGCGAGCACCCGTACCAGCGGCCCGGCGCGCCGCCCGTCGCCCAGTTGTAGTGTGTGTTGGTGCCGAGCAGGTTAGTTGACGTCCTGAGAGCCGCCGCCCCGCGCCCCGTCCCCGTCCCTCCGTCCCTGAGCCGCCCTCAATATGTGCTCTATTATCCAGCCTCTTCATGATTTTGACGCTCTTCTTACTCTGTAAAAGGCGTCATTCGTAGACTGTGTGGGGCTCTGAGGGCGCGGGCCGGTCGCCGTCCCATCTCACACATCCCCGTCTTTCTGCCGCCTCTGTGCGCTGCCCCTCCCCGAAAAATGTGCTCCCAGGCCCTTGTCAGTTGTCACAATCCTCTCCCGCCTTAGTATATCCGCGATCTTCAGCTTTTCCAAGATGCATTCGACAGAGATGCACCGCTTACTGATCGCGTTTCCAAATGTCGAGTCCTTTCCTTCCCTTTCTACCACGACAGTCCTGTATATCATATTCCTGCCCCTGTTCTGAGCCGGAGAGAGCTGCTCGATCAGCCAGCGGAGGCGGAAAGGGTGACTCCCGGCGTCCAGGCAGACCCGTCAGAGAGACCCGAGCTCTCAGCGCACCTCGCACTCGTCCTGTGTATAAAGTCGTTGCGCCCATGCCCATACTTCAGACATACATCCACCAAGTGATATTTCCAGTTGTGCTTATTGGTGACTTTGTATAAATAGTGATTTCCAGTCTTATTTTGTATGGTCACCTGAGGCATTACATGTGCTGATAAAAAGCAATAAAAATACTTTCATTCTAGCATTTGCTGTCGGAGTGTCTGGCGACGTACTCAGCGGACAGTGGACACGTTTCTTCAAACACATGATTTGTGTAAAGTGACCACACACTAATGACTTTGTATAGCACTAACGTTTGCCGCCTGAGATGTCCACTAACTGTCCTGCTGAGCCAGCCTGTTGCTGAGCTCCCTGCTCCCGCTGGCTGAGCCGCTCTCTCCCTCTCTCCTGGTGTCCTGGGAGCATGCGCAGAGCGGGGCTGTCCGTCTGTCCCGGTGGACAGCCTCTGCCAGCGTCTGACCGAGCCATGGGAAGGGGGTAACCCACGCCGCCCGGGGCTTGTAGACGGACCGGCCGCTGCCGTTCGCTTTGAGTAGCCCTGTGAACATGTGTTTTCGGCGCCGGCAGGCGGTCTAACCAGCCACCGGCGCATTAACCGGCCACGCTCGCGGAACTCGCCTCAGTAGACTCTCTGCTACCGTAGCTACGGTACTAATGTCTATATGGTGCTACGCTACCGCCCGCGCCCCGTATTTACAGACAACATGTACTAACAAACTTTTCTCTCTTTCTCTGTTCCACTGTGCGCCGCGGGACACAGCTAACACCCCGTAACGTGCACGGGCCACGGCCGCGCCCTCCAACCCACCCTGCCACTAACGAGACGGCGCCGCCCGGCACCCGGAGGTGGACTGAAGGCGGGCAGAGGCGGGCGGAGGCGGGCACAGAGGCGGGCACGTGCGGGGTGCGGCGGCCGGCCCGGCCTACACCGCGCCACCACTGAATCTCAACTGTTACTTAGGCAGCCCGACGCGGCGGCCGCAGTGCGCGTGCGCGCGGCAACCAATATCTGAGATAGCAACAACGAGGAGACTTGTGCGTGCGATGATCTGAAGTGAGAATACTCGGTGAGCGGTGAGAGATGTCGTTTGTGAGCGCTACAGGGTAGGAGGCCGCGCAGAGCCGCGGCGCGCTAGCCCAGTGTCCGGCGCGGGGTGTTGATGACGTTGATGGGGCGTGAGCTAGATGTCTGTTGCACCGACCGACCCCATGTTCGCGGTCGTTGCCTTGTCAAGTGCCAACGTCGAATCGTGTAGCGGCCTTATTCACCAGTGCCAAATTTGGACGCGCCCGGTCCGATCCGCAGGGGGCGGCTCTGACTTTGCGCCGGGCGCTAGTTGTATTTTTGTATTTGTGCTCCTCCGGTGTGTGCTCTTGTGTTCAGCTCCGTCCCGGGGGTTTCCTGGGGAGACACCAGGAAATGACTGGCTGAGGAGGACCGATCTGATGTCACGAAGCAAGCTTTCGTACTTAATCTCAGTATCGCACGTTTTATTTTGATTTGGAAGTTCATTTCTACGTGCAATTTATGGAGGAAAAGAATATCGATGGTGCCTTTCTACTGGACCGTGCCTTGTACATTGTATATGCATTGTATCGAACTGTTAGGTGTATCTGTTCGATCCGAGGGTCATCGCAGACCTGCTGCAGGTCAATGACAACATGTCAGGCCAAATATGTGCCTTATTGAAATGTGGCGGTATCTATACCGAGACATTACGTGGTGCTGCATTTGAATATTTGAATAAATGTTGTGGTGCGAACCGGACTTGTTCGTGAACGTTCAAAGCGTTTCGAAAAGGATGGCGATGCGACCGAGGGGCGAGAGGCTACCCCGATATCGAGAGGATCGTTTCACTCAGATTGGAAAGCTCTACGCTCAACGAGTGACGAAATAAGTTACATAAATACAGAACATAGACAGACAGGCTCAGTATCGATAGACGAATAGCTCGCTTCAAACTAGATACCGGCGGCTAAATGCTGCCACGGGTGTTCCGCACGAATAACATTCAGATGAGGGCTGAAAAACGGGATCCGCATATACGATAGTGGGGGTATAAATGTCGAGACGTCCGTCATTCCGAATCGAGCAGCCGACGCACCTCCCGACCAGATCTAACTGTGCCCGACACTTGATAGGTCACTGAAACGAGACAGATGAACGGTGCAGTCCTACACGCTAACGGAACAATTAGCGATAACTTTAGTCAACATTCAATCGCTCATTCGGTTTTCGCCTTCTCCGTGGTCACTGGTCACAGTCCTACGGCCTGCCATCTGAGGCCCTGCAGATCCCGCATTGGTCCGAGCTGGCGGCTGACGGCTCTGTACTCTGGATGACAATCAAGCTTCCATCTCCTCTATACGGCTGGCGGGGGAGACGGTACGTGCTGAGAGTCCGCGATTAGCGCGAGACGGTGTCGTAACCCGCGGCCAATGAGTCCGACACGGTCCTCGCCATGAAATACACACCGAGTCAGGCGACTATCTACCGATCAGTTTATGCACCGAACTAATTTATCTTGCAGTTATGCAGGCTGATGGCTGTGAATGTCACGGGATGATTTAGAAGACCGAGAGCCTCGGATCTGGTTCACACGATCGGCCACTGGGGATCTGTCCGGGCGGCGCTACCGGACAGCGACACACAAGATAAGATACCTATAAGAAACGTAGCACATCCAGCAAACGTCAGAGTAGGTGAATTGACCGAATCTGTAGGAAAATCCGTATGCTAGCCCGGCAGGCGGTGGGCCTACCAGCCACCTTCCGCGCGGTGGGGGGGGGGGGGCACTTTTTTGCCCCCCCCCCGTATCTCCGAAACTACTGGACGGATCCGGAAAATTCAAACGGCGTTCGATAGCCCTGTCAAATTTGTCGAGGGAAACCAAATTTCATTGACCTCGGGGTCACCGATGACGTCACAGGTCAGGTCAAAGATAAAATGTTTCACCGTTCACGGGGCTTCTAGGGAAAGCGCTATAACACCGAGTAAAACGCATTTTGTCGAAAATCAGCGATAAGGCGCCAGTTGTCTAGTACATATGTTGCTATTAGAGGTCACTGGTCATACCAGGTCAGGTCACAGGTCAGGTCACCAAAGGTCACCAAGGGTCACCACATGAGCCCAACTTTACGAAGGTTATGCGATGCATGTTTTATGGCCAGTTTTTCATTTCCAACTCAATGGTGTTGGTTATAAGACCATCAGGTACGGTTTAGGTCACTTTCTGGTGGAGGTCAGGTCAAGGTCAGGTCAAAAAAGGTCAAATTTCAAAGTTGATATTTTTGCATAAAATGGGTATCGATTCGATGCAGCTCGTCACGGGGAGTCTAATGGTGGTCTTTGTTTTGCGCTACGAGGTCTAGAATTGCTAAAAATTGAGTTTGAAAATTTGACGTCATCAATTTTGAACAGTTTTTTCGCTATAACTTGGCCAAAAAAAGAGGTATCGATCTCAAATTTGGTATGTAGATAGAAGGCGGTAGGGGCTATCACATATATTCCGGTTTTTTCGAAATTCAAAAAACTTTTTGGATTTTTTGGCTATTATATTCAAAAAATCTTTTTTTTTGATTTTTGGGGGTCAAAATCCAAAAAATTCGAAAAACCGAGATAGCAGTTTTGTAGCCCTGTCAATTTCACACCTTTTATGTCTAAAACAATTTTCTGTATCTCTAAAGCTGTAGGCCTGACAGCCAGCGGCGTATTTAGAAAATCGCGAAGGGGGGGGCCAAGGGTTTGGAGGGCGCCACCTCACCCAAGAAGGGCGCCATACGGTCGCGAGATAAAAAATCGCTCAGTGGGGGTTGGGGGGTTGGGAGGCGTTTTTTACCATGCCACCAGTTTTTTTTTTGCGTAACCTCGTATAGGTCGTGCTGCATTGATTTTGCATCGTGTGTATTCATTATATTCCAGGTCACAAAAGGTCAAGTGTTCTTGAAATGCTGCGCCGAAGGCGCGCGAAATTTTTGAAAACAACCTTTTCCTCCGCTTTTTAGGCACGCCTTTTATACGATCACTGTTCAAAGCTCCTCTCGCTCTTTTACCAAATTTGAAGGTGTAAAAAATACCTAAGGTTTGGTCGGGCCGCTGCCACACAAACTGTACAGAAAGCTTGGCTCATGGGTGTCGATGTATAAAAGTTTATTGGCGGTGGCATATCTACGCACCAGATCACCGTATCGGATTGATACCGGAGCGCGAGATGCGTAAACATCATCCAAATTACCTCAGACCAGCCTTCATAGCCTTCTCACAGATGCATACAGTGTACCCACATAACCAGTTTCAATCACCGAAACTTCAGATGCCTGCTGTTGCGCCCGAACCTGTTGACAATACTTAATCGTAATCCATATAGATGCCATGATGCACGTAAAGTAGGATCAATCCGTTAAGACCAAAGACGTGTTTTATGCATCGTAGAGCGTAGATAGTTTTGGTAGGTATAGATACTTCATTCATTGTGCTGAATGCACGTTCATTTGTGGCAGTTTTCACAGGCAAGACATCAACTATGTGCAATAGAACGACTAAGTTGAAAAACATGCCAAAGGAGTAAATAAATGATAGGAGGGCAGCGATCAACGGATGTTGCCAATAGGTAGAAGGGCTGCGATCCACAGGAGGGCACTAATAGGTAGAAGAGCCCCGATCAACATCCCGAGTTTCGACAGTAGGGCACCGATAGGTAGGAAGTTGGCGAGCAGCAGGAGGGCGCCAATGGATAGAAGGGCAGCGATCAACAGGAGGGCACCAATAGGTAGGAGGGCGCCGATCAACAATCAACAGGAGGGCGCCACCAGGTAAGAGGGTGGCGAGGAACAGGAGAGCACCAATAGGAGGGTGGCGATCAACAAGAGGTCGCCAATAGGTGGGAGGGCGGTCATCAACTGGAAGTCGCCAATGAGCGGAAGGGTGACGATTAAAATGGGGGTGGCAATGGTGAGGAGGGCGCCTTTGCTCAAGAGGATGACACGAACAGGAGGGCGTCTGTGCGGAGGGCGCTGGTCAACAGGAAGGTGCCAGTGGATAGGAGGGCGGTGATCAACAGGAGGGTGCCAGTGGTTAGGAGGGCGGCGATCTACACGAGGGCGCCAATAGGAGAAGTGCCCCGATTAACATTCAACAGGAAGGACTAGGGAACCAATAGGTAGGAGGGCGGCACTGAACAAGAGGGTGCCAAAAGGGAGAAAGGCGGCCTTCAAAATTTCACATGAGGGCTCAATAGGTAGGAGAGCGCCAATAATTATGAGGACGCCGATCAGCAGAAGGGCGGCAATGTGTAGCAGGGTGGCGACCTACAGGAGGGCGCCTTCGGGTGAGAGGGCGCTTATTTACAGGACAGCGGCTTACATAGGCGACCACCGTTACGCTTAGAGAGCTACAGCCTACAAATGTGGTTGGAGGGCGCCCGAGGGAGCCCTCCAACCGTATTTGGAGGGCGTATTTGGAATGGGCGTCCTCCGAGGGCGCCCTCCATCCGTATTTTCCCTGTAAACACATTCGCGATTGGAGGGCGCCCTCCAGTCGCGATTGTTTTTCGATTCGATTATATCACAATTGCATTTGCGATTGGAGGGCGCCTTCGGCGCCCTCCAATCGCAAAGGGCGCCTTCGGCGCCCAAGGGGGGGGGGGGCCATGGCCCAGTGGCCCCCCCCCTGCCTACGCCCCTGCTGACAGCTCTTCCCGCGAAACCTTTTTTTGGGTCGAAAATGGCAAAAATGACGTCACTCTGACGTCATTAGCGGCCAACCTATCGTAGCCTTTGGAAAAATTTTTGGTCACCATGTGCGCTAGCTGCTCCCGGGAGGGTACTGAAAGTTTGGTGACGATCGGCGCAGCGGTTCTCGAGATATATCGAAAAAACTAAAGGGGGGGCAAAAAATTGCCCCCCCCCCCACCGCCTGGAAGGCTAGGTTTATGTACCGTAATACGTAATATGGCCTTCGCCCTCTATGTACCCGCTGCGATTATGAGCAGCAGAGGACGTAACATTTCTGCCGAAACTTTTTCTGTACTTTTTACCTTCACCGGTGACGATAATCCGATAATCGATACCGATTACCAAATGCTAGTGAAGGCGGCGGAACGGGGAGGGCACCGGGGCACCGTGCCCCCTTTGCTGTTAGCATTTCAACATTAGCCCTATGGGCGTTGCATGGAAAGAATGAGACCAAAAGTCGACAGTGCCCCCGTTCAAGGTGTTCCGCCGCTACTGGTGAGAAATACAGCTACAAGCACGCAGATGAAATCAGCATTTTTATAAAACGGGACAGCCGTATAGACAATAGAAGCCATCTTTCAAAGAAAATAAATCGAGGCCCATGCGTTGAACCCAAGTTGAATCATTCCGTTCATTTTCGGACACATTTCTCGTTGTCGACGGAAAAATACTTTATTCTGTGGACCATATGGTAGCCAATATGGTAGCGTCCAATGAGGCAAAAACCCCGCAACATTTACAAACCTATTGGCGCGAATTTCTCCGATTTGTCTCTCGCTTTTGTGAAGGGCAAGTTGGGTCTTGAATTGGTCTTGAAGCAAGTCAAAGTGCGCAGTTTCGGTGCAAGAGTGTGTTTATATGCCTCGAGTACAAGCAGCCAACAAGCTCAACGGAATTCTGGACTCGCTAGCATCTTAAATAATGATTATTGGGTAGACTGCAAAAGCTGCCTGATTTTCTTCTCTGAGAGGAAATTCAAACTGGGACTTAGACTCCTCAGGAACAGCTCCAGCCCAATAAATCAAATTGAATCATAAGCTGCTCTGATCCGACCACATCAACATGGTAAGCCTAGAAAAACGCTAAATCAAATATGCTAAATGAAAATAGAAATATGCTAAATGAAATGCTTAATTGCTGCAGGCACATTTGCCTGTCCCGTAGCTTAGTCAGTAGAGCGTTTGACCCCATGTGTTGAGAGCACGGGCCTTGCTACCAACTGGATTGAATCAGCTGGCTGGCCAGCTAGTGACATATGATAGCCATTAATATATAGCGATAAACACGGTAGTAGAATGTAGATGGACATGTGCATGTAAAATACGGTACAAATAGAGAAATTAATAGGTAGATATTTGGTCTTTTATATCTAGCATTGATACATAACAAGCTCCACTAGCATGGCGCCACCATACAACTCACCTTGTCAACTCACCTTGTCGGGTCCCGCCTACTTAGCACTAGCAGTCTGATAGGATATAGGCAAGTGAAAAGATAGATAAGGAACCCATATAACATAAAGCGCGCCAGTTCGATAAACATGTAACGGTGAACAGGCAGACAATAGTATTAACTGGAATTTGCGCTTGCAAACAAAATGGCAATAACATTATCACGATAGCAACAAAAACCAGCGAGGTAACATAATGATACGGAGTACATCCTATTCGTGTTACACATAGGCAAACATTCTATTTGGGCCCCAGCTGGCAAATAATCCAGTTAATAGTATGGCCCAGAGCATGCATTTCCAACTATAACCGTCCGGTTTGAAGCGCGACAGACGCTTGATGTTTATCATTTATGGGCCTCCTGACAGGAGTGGTTGCTGTTGGCGGTAGGCCATAGCCCGTAGCTAGTCAATGTCAGTGAGGGGACAGGCCACACATGGCTATGTGCGCATGTTAAACTTTGGACTCATAATTCTGCCATAGAACAGGAATTTTGTGATCGGAGGGTAGAGGGCAGGGTCAATGCAACAGCCAACAAGCTTTGCTGAGCAGGGGCTCTCCTTGTGAATCCTTCCATTCAAAAGGTTCAGACTATATTTATTTAAAAAAACATTTTGTGAACTAATATCCCCATTTAAACCAAAAGGTTAATTGGTATTTTTTTCACAGAACATGGATTTGATTTGTTTTTAATGTGCATGAGGCTGCCCCATGACCCTCACCCTGCCCCATGCCTCATGCCCCATGCCCCATGCCCCATTGGGGCATGACTGCTAGGGTAGATTTCAAATATAGAAATACAAGGTTTATGTTGAGCTACTATTTTGCATTTGACCGTATATGGAACTCAGCAGGCCTTGAATTGCAGCGATAGAGACAGCAGCTGCAGAGCTGCAAAAGTTGCAAAGCCTGCAGCTGTAAAGCCGGCATCACACTCCTGGGAATGTATCGCACATCCCGTCCGATGTACTCAGAGTTCTCGCGGAGTCGCACGATGTACTCAGAGTTCTCGCGGAGTCGCACGATGTACTCAGAGTTCTCGCGGAGTCGCACGATGTACTCAGAGTTCTCGCGGAGTCGCACGATGTACTCAGAGTTCTCGCGGAGTCGCACGATGTACTCAGAGTTCTCGCGGAGTCGCACGATGTACTCAGAGTTCTCGCGGAGTCGCACGATGTAGGTACTCAGAGTTCTCGCGGAGTCGCACGATGTACTCAGAGTTCTCGCGGAGTCGCACGATGTACTCAGAGTTCTCGCGGAGTCGCACGATGTACTCAGAGTTCTCGCGGAGTCGCACGATGTACTCAGAGTTCTCGCGGAGTCGCACGATGTACTCAGAGTTCTGGCGGAGTCGTACGATGTAGGTACTCAGAGTTCTCGCGGAGTCGCACGATGTACTCCAGTTCGTCTTCAGACACTCCTCCGGATCGTCCACTCCTTCGCCGCTCAGCACTGGCGCGGCTGGCCTCCAACCTTTTCTTCTGCGCGGTCACGGACCGTGCCTAGGGCAAGGCCGGGGGGTGGGGGAGGGGGCGGGTCGGTGGCGACCTGCACCCGCCCCACTCTCTGCAAAAACTCGATGATGTGCTGGACCGGCCCCGAGAGCACTTCCGCCATGGTCGGACAGTGCCCCTAGAAACCGGCCCTCGCCGCCACGTGTGCGGGGCACCCGGACCCGGCACGTCCTCTACGTGTACGTCTACCTCCTCGCCGCAGGCTCGGCAGGTCGGGTCTTCGACCAGGCCGAGGCGATGAGCTGTGGCTCGCACCAGTGGACAGTAGCCCGTGCGGAGCTGGGACAGGGTGGCCTGGCCCCACCTGTCCAGCTCGTCGTGGCTCGGAGTGGAGTCTCGGTGAGGGTGCCGCTGCGCTCGTGCGGAGGCCAGCTCCGATGTCCAGCGGCGGATGGATACCGCGCGCTGGAAAGGTCGATCGGGGCCTCCTCTTAAGCGGATGGGGGCCTCCGATGTTCACAACCACCGGCAGTGTTTACTGTACCTACCGCTGTCAGGCTTGAGGATTGGTTTGAGGCTAGAGGATAGAGGCAAAAGCTAAGATGTAGAAGACCGAGCGAAAATGAGTCGTTCCTCACTATAAAACACCGTCTATTAGCTCGAACAGTTGATGGAGGATACCTAGGTATCACGCCACTTGGTGTTAGGCACCGTCCGCAGCCGCGCTCCTCTATTACCGTGCCTCAAGTCTTCGGAAGGATTGTACCATGTAGGTATGAGAGTCATGTGTAAATTCGGTACATGTACGGCTCTCGCGAGATTAAGCGGTAGGTTTGACACTTTTACATTTCCGGCTATATGTCAGAAACGAATCGATCTATACGATGAAGCCATTTTACAACATCATGACCGGCTTGTGAACCAACAAGTCGATCGCATCGTTAACACTTGATTAAGACGACGAAGATGTAGCCTGAAGTACCCTAAATTTTCTAGGTGCAAAACCTACCGTTAAAACCCGCGAGACCTGTACATACTTACATATGATGTTCATGTTTTGTACTGTTTTGCCTTGTCTAGCCGCGCGACATACGAAGCTACTTCGGCGCGTCCTCCATGAAGCAGGCGGACATCCGGTCCATGTTCGGAAAGAAGCCTTCTTCAGCGGAGAAGAAGAAGGCCGCCCCGGTGACCATCATCTCGGACTCGGACTCGGACACCGAGACGCAAAACAAGAAACGAAAGCGGCCCTCACGTATCGTCGACTCCGGTGAGTTTTTTTTTCGTGCGTTAGGTGCAGTTTTAATTGATTTATAAGCAATTGTCCGCTATTGCACACAGTCATAGGGGGAGCATTGGCCGGCTTTGCTTTGGAGCCCCAACGGATGGCGAGGGTCAAGGTCACCCGCGCTGGCCTGGGGCGGTGGATTTGCGGTGCCCGAACACCCACAGTTCCTTACTATTCTCCACATGTGCTCATTGTGTGAGTACAAGTCATAAGATAAGCATTTAATGCATAGTGACATCTTTGGCAAAATGTTGAACAGCGTGAGTCATTCATTCATCAAATCATTTAACAACATCCTCATCATTCATCAACACCCCGTTAAATGCAAGTGAGACCCTTTCAGCCGTTTTCGCATGTCCTGCAGTTTTTGTGTTTTGCTCCAGATGAAGAGGATTTCGTGAAGAAGGCACCAACTCCAAAAAAGAAAAAGGAAAAGGATGATTCCAAAAAGGAGGCAAACGGGAAACATCTCAAACCAGTTTCAGCGGACGATTTCTTCGGCTCTGCGAAACCGAAGTCCTCTGAAACCCCAAAACAGCCCAAAAAGGTTTTAACTATTTTTGTGGCTTATATAGCTGCATAGTATCTGTAAATATTGAAGAAAAACTAAAACGTAGCAGTGGACGATTGCCACCTGAAATTTTACTGTGGATGCTCGATTCATTGATAGTTCTTATAAAAGCAATATTTTACTTAGTGGCACCATCCTGACCTGTGCTCGTTTCATTCTGCTGCAGCCAAAGTCCCATGCGGATGACGCCAGTTTCTCCAAGACCCTGGAGCAGCTGGACCTTCCACCCAAGACCGAGGCCGCCGACAGGCCGTCCGGCGAGACACTGACGCTGGCGGCTAAAGTGGCGCGGCTGAAGGGGAAGGCGCCGGCCTCGGGCGCCGCCTCCTCGTCGGCCGCCGCTGAACTCTCCGCCAGTGACGAGGACGACGGGCCGACCAAAATCCGGGGCGACGCGCCATCGCAGACACAGAGCCCACCCAAACAGAAGGCGTCGGAGAAGAACGGTAAATCGAATAAGGATTCAGCTGAGAAGCATGAGGCGCGATCCAAAAAGACACCAGAGAAGCCTTCAACTAAGGATGCCGCTGATGCCGGAGGATCACAAGTCAAAGAGGAAAAATCACCCAAGAAAGATAAGACACCGGACAAGAAGAAGAAGACCCCACTAAAGGAGAAGACGCCTGGTAAAAGGAAGGGCTCAGAGCCTGAGGACAGCACGCCGAAGGCCAAGAAGAGTAAGCCGGCGACGGAGGCGGCCACGCCGGACGAGGTGCGCCAGAAGAAGGCGGAAAACTACAGGAAGTTTCTGGAGAGGCAGCACGCCGGACCGAAGAACCCCGGCGCCAGGGAGGTGCCCGAGGTAAGCACCGGCTATTCATGTGAATGTTGTGTAGAAAAATCACATGGTAAACCAATCTACGTGATTCTATTCTATTTTCCATAAACTGCTGCTTTTTATGACCACAACTAGGCTGTTCATTAGATTTATGTTATTCCTTGCATTTATAATTTTGTGGTGGAAGTGCTACCTTTTTTCGAAATGTTTTGATTCGTGTTTGACCCCGTCTCTGCAGGGCTCTCCCGGCTGTCTGGCGGGCCTGACGCTGGTTCTGACTGGTCTGCTCGACTCACTGGGACGAGAGGAGGCCGCTGACCTCTGTAAGGGCCTCGGGGCAAAGGTCACCACCAGTGTCAGTCGTAATACGTCGTACCTCATTGTCGGCGACGAACCCGGCCAAAGCAAAACGGAAAAGGTTAGTCAGCGTGAGCAAATGTTTAGCTTTGCTGAATGTGACTGGTGACAAAATGCGAAATTGAGTGTATGTTATGCTTTAGAACAATAACTTTACGTTTTAAATAGAAGAGTATTTGAACAACAGGCAATGCTTATCCGTTAATTCAAACTGTATGGTCTTCTATAGGCCAAGAAGGTCGGTACGAAGGTACTGGATGAGGAGGGTCTGTTCAACCTCATCCGTGAGCGCTCCAAGACGCACGGTAAGCCGGAGCTGGAGACCGTCAGCGCCGACTCCGGGGTCGGCACCAGTCAGGACTCCCTGGGATCCCCGGAGCCGATCCGGAGAACTGCCGACTCTGGTCCGGAGCCGGCCAAACCGGCTCCGGGCGCGGTAAAGTCGGAGCCGGAGTCGGAGCCGGTAGTACAGAAGGGTGGTAAGAGCGACTCTGGCGCCCCCTCTGCTGCCGCCGCGGCGGTCCCTCCGCCTGACGGCGTGTTGGAGACACAAATGTGGGTGGACAAGTACAAGCCCAAGTCGTCAAAGAACATCATCGGTCAGCAGGGAGACAAGTCGGCGATGAACAAGCTGAAGCAGTGGCTGCAGCGCTGGCATCGCTTCCACTCCGGCGCCAACAAGGTCAAAGTCAAGGCCTGTGAGTATTGCTACGGTACCGTGCATTGATGATCAGTAAAAGCATAGTTGTTATGCCGTTATATCGCTGGTGAGATGTGGTTCACTGAGCTGCGACTTTAAATATCCGGACATGAGTGCTACATGCCTTGTGATGCCAATGATTTTATATGATCTTTGAACGATTTTTAAAATGATTTTTCAAGTATTGAATGAAAATGTGCTCGAGAAGCGTTTCCCCATCGGTTTTATTTGTTCCACAGATAACCAAGGCTTCAACGACGACGGTTCCAATTTCAAGGCTGCTCTTCTGTCGGGCCCACCGGGCGTGGGTAAGGATGACTCCGAAGCACAGCCGTACCTATTTTTACCCCGCACCCTCTTCACTCTGGTTTTTTGTTTTAAGTAAATTGAGGGGAGTGTATAGTAACAGCGGCTTTATTTTAGTACCTACATTTAAGCTGAAAATGATTTAATATGGTTTTGGAATTTCATCGTATACGAATGCTCTGATTTTTGTATTGCATCTTAGCCACTTGCCCCTCAGTTTGCCCGTCCCCTCCTCTCCCCAGGAAAGACGACCACCGCCCACCTGGTGTGTCAGGAGCTGGGCTTTGAGGTGGTGGAACTGAACGCCTCCGACTCGCGCTCCAAGAAGCTGCTGGAAAAGTACACCGATTGTCTGCAGATGAGCTCGCTCGGGCACGCCTTCCAGGCGGCAGGTGCGTGGAGGGAGGGAACAATGTGACGACCTTGGGATTAGACTGACCTAGTCCTAGCGACGTCTTGTTATCAGGTAGGTGGTAAACAATGTTGAGCGTACTAGAAATAGGCCTGCTGCCTGACTGCATTGGAAGTAACTGGGTAAGAGTCCGACCGTTCGTCCCATCTGCCGTATAACGTTTTAGTTAACGTAGTTATACACACCAGTATAACGCCTTTTGGGGTGACTAACGGAGCGAGCGAGAGGGTGAGCCTTGCACGTGCGAAATTTCGAGGGGTACCTCCAACTGACTTGTGCACGGCACCCTACTAACCGGTCTCTAGCGATGTGCCAAATTTGAGCACAATCGGCCCAGCCGTTCTCGAGATCTGGAAGCGGCACCCTGCACGTGCGCACGTGCAAAATGGGTCCCAACTGACTTGTGCACGGCACCCTACTAACTGCTCCGTAACCGTGTACCAAATTTGAGCGCAATCGGTCCAGCCGTTCTCGAGATCTGGAAACGACCCCTGCACGTGCGCACGTGCAGCAGCACCCCAACTCTGGCACATGGATATGCATTGCCTAGTGGGTGCCTACCTACATGCCAACTCTCAGCGCAATCGGCCCAGTAGTTACCGAGATATTGCAACCAGTATAACGCCTTTTGGGGCGACTAACGGAGCGAGCGAGAGGGTGGCCTTGCACGTGCGAAATTGCGAGGGAGTACCTCCAACTGACTTGTGCACGGCACCCTACTAACCGGTCTCTAGCGATGTGCCAAATTTGAGCACAATCGGCCCGGCCGTTCTCGAGATCTGGTAGCGGCACCCTGCACGTGCGCACGTGCAAAATGGATCCCAACTGACTTATGCACGGCACCCTACTAACTGGTCCCTAACCGTGTACCAAATTTGAGCGCAATCGGTCCAGCCGTTCTCGAGATCTGGAAACGACCCCTGCACGTGCGCACGTGCAGCAGCACCCCAACTCTGGCACATGGATATGCATTGCCTAGCGGATGCCTACCTACATACCAACTTTCAGCGCAATCGGCCAGGTAGTTACCGAGATATTGCAACAATTACAAAACTGACACCTCTTCGTTTTGCACGTGGCACGTGCGTAAGGGGTCACTCACATGCATCGGGAATAGTCCAATACTTGGTAGAAGGAATGAAGCTACCCTACAAAAATTACCGTGTGTAAATCGGTCAAGTGGTTGCTGAGATATAAGCCTCGCAAAAGCGTGACCACGGCCGGCCGGCCGGCCGGACGGCCGCTCATACTCAGAAATTTCCGTTAATCTAAGGAAAGAGTACGCTCGCTTCGCTCGCTCCGTAACAATTGCAAAAGTGACACCTCTTCGTTTTGCACGTGGCATGTGCATAAGGGGTCACCCACATGCATCGGGAATAGTGCAATACTTGGTAGAAGCAATGAAGCTACCCTACAAAAATTACCGCATGTAAATCGGTCAAGTGGTTGCTGAGATATAAGCCTCGCAAAAGCGTGACCACGGCCGGCCGGCCGGCAGGCCGGCCGGCCGCTCATTACGGAGCGAGCGAAGCGAACGTAGTCTTTCCTTAGATTAACGGAAATTTCCGAGTATGAGCGGCCGGCCGGCCGTGGTCACGCTTTTGCGAGGCTTATATCTCAGCAACCACTTGACCGATTTACACGCGGTAATTTTTGTAGGGTAGCTTCATTCCTTCTACCAAGTATTGGACTATTCCCGATGCATGTGGGTGACCCCTTATGCACGTGCCACGTGCAAAACGAAGAGGTGTCACTTTTGTAATTGTTGCAATATCTCGGAAACTACTTGGCCGATTGCGCTGAAAGTTGGCATGTAGGTAGGCACCCACCAGGCACTGCATATACATGTGCCAGAGTTTGGGTGCTGCTGCACGTGCGCACGTGCAGGGGTCGTTTCCAGATCTCGAGAACGGCTGGACCGATTGCGCTCAAATTTGGTACACGGTTAGGGACCGGTTAGTAGGGTGCCGTGCACAAGTCAGTTGGGACCCATTTTGCACGTGCGCACGTGCAGGGTGCCGCTTCCAGATCTCGAGAACGGCTGGGCCGATTGTGCCCAAATTTGGCACATCGCTAGAGACCAGTTAGTAGGGTGCCGTGCACAAGTCAGTTGGAGGTACCCCCTCGCAATTTCGCACGTGCAAGGCCCACCCTCTCGCTCGCTCCGTTAGTCGCCCCAAAAGGCGTTATACTTGTGTGAGTTCGCTCCGTCTCTCGTACTCGTCCGCGCTCCGTCTGCACAAACGCACTCGCTCGTGTCTAGCCGCGTACTGTTTATTGGCGCAGTGACCGGTCAGATGCTCGCTACCGGCCTGCCACCTAGCGGACACACGCAGAGCTATTAGTTAACACTCTCACACCCCCACACCAGTTTCAATCTAAATATATGAATAAACATTGAGACAATCAAATCACCAGAGCGGTGAACAACGAAAAAATAAATACAGAAAATAAAAGACGATTAGTCCAAAATAGACGGAACTCAACGGACAGTTCAAAGCGGCACAGAAAGTGCCTAACACCAGAACACCGCAATGATAGAACCAAACACCTCACTCCCTGGGTAATAACTCAAGTTGCTGAGAACATTCACCTTACACAGTCATGAAATATTCGCAAACTAACGACAGAGTCGGGGAATATTTCACATTTCCTCGATGAGTCTGCGCGTCTGTTTCTTTATTCTCGTCGATCGCCTCAGTGGCTGCTGCTGCTGCTGTTGCCGCCGCTCAGTCTGTGCAGGTTTCAGACTCGTCTGCTGCTGCTGCTGCTGCTGCTGCCGTCGTAGCTGCTGCGCAGCCTGTGCAGGTTTCAGTCTCGTCTGCTCCTCTTCCACCGCCGGGGAGCTGACTGCGTGCGGTTCCGAGTAAGCGTATCGCTGGCGAAGGAACCTGCGGTTCCTGGTGAGGACACGTCCGCTGGGGAGCCGGATGAAGTACCTCCGCCTCCTGCCGTCAACTTCAGTAATCACTCCGCAGCGGTCCCAGCGTTTGTTGACGTGGTTCTGCACCATCACCTGGCTGCCGACGCGCAGGACAGGCAGATTTCTGGCGTGCTGATTGTAGCGCCGCTCTGAGTCGTCCTTCAGATCGGCGGCAGCTGTGTCAGCTTCATCAGCCGATCTTTGCCAGCGAGGATCGAAGACACGTCGGTGAGCCGGCAGAGTGTCTCGGACTGGTCGGCCGAACACTATCTGAGCCGGACTCCTGCCGCCCGGTCCCGGTGTGTTTCTCTGCTGCAGTACGCCGCGGGTCCACGCGTCGATGTCCAATCCACCAGGCGACTTCCAACACCTGCGAATCAGCTTGCTTGCGGCCTTGACCCCAGCTTCTGCTCGTCCATTTGACTGAGGGTAATGCGGCGATGAGATGACGTGCTCCACTTTCCACTGCTCCATGAACTGCTTGAAGGCCCTAGACGTATACTGTGGGCCACCGTCACTGAAGATTGTCTCGGGTGCTCCCACCGTGCAGAATATACTTTTTAGCTCTGCGATCACCCGAGCTGATTTCATCGTTCTTCCCAGGTGCCGTGAGAACTGCCACCCCGAGAACGGATCCACCGCCACCATGAAGTACTGACCCGCGTGCTGGAAGAGGTCTGTACATAGGTGCTGGAACGGACGTGAAGGAGGACTCCTCCTGAGGTAGGGTTCCTTGGGGAGTGACGGCAGCTCCGCTTGACATGCCGCACATCTTCTCGTGATATTTTCTATATCATTATCTAGGTCGGGCCAGTACACGGCCTGGCGCGCTCGACTTTTCGTTTTTTCTTTCCCCATGTGTGATGCGTGTAACTCAGTGAGAACTGCTGCTCGCATCGGTCTTGGTATGACTAGCCGACATCCACACAGAACAACACCGTCTTCCACCGTCAGCCGATCGTGCACTGCCCAGTACGGTCGGATGACTTCCGGGAGGTCCGTCTTACTCGCCGGAAAGCCAGTGAGGACCGTCTGGATCAGCTGCCTGGCCTCTTCATCGTGGTCGGCCGCGCGCCGCACGTCATCCAGACGAATGTCTGACTGTGCTTCTTCCAGAGCGCTGCATACCACTGCGTTGATGCTGGCTATCGTGTCGTCTTCAGCCAGCTCGTCTTCAGCCGTCGGAGAGTCGACAGGTGATCTCGACAGGGCGTCAGCTGCCTGGTGCTCCTTCCCCTTCGTCCAGCTTGCCGTGAAGTTGTACATGCTGATACGCCCTCGAAGGCGTTGTAGTCTCGAATTTTCAATCTCGTCCATGTTCTTGGAGTTCAATATGCTGATCAATGGACGGTGGTCAACCAGGATGTCGAAGTGCTGCATTCCACTCAGAAAGAGTCGACACTTGCGGCTGACTGCCCACGCCACTGCCAAGAGCTCCAGCTCAATTGTGGCATATCGCGTTTCAGCATCCGTCAGTGACCGTGACCCAGCCTGGATCACGCGCCACTCTCCGTTCTGCTGCTTCTGTTGAAGGATGAAACCCAGTCCATGAAGTCTGCTGGCATCAGTAGATAGCAGCGTCGGCCTGGTGAGATCGAAGTATCCCAGGCTCCTTGTCGATGATAGCGCCAGTCGAGCTGCTTCGAACGCTGACTGGTGGCAGTTGTCCCAACAGAAGCTTCGCTTGGTGCTCAGTAGGTGGCGCAGTGGCTCCAGATGATGCGTCACTTCTTCCGAGAAGGGCGCGACTTGATTAACGAGTCCGAAGAAACTCCTCAGGTCCGTCACGTTCTGTGGCTCAGGGAAGGCGGCGATGGCTCGTAGCAGCTCTGGGTCCGGCCTGTAACCACCATGTGTCACCAAGAAGCCTGCGAAGCGCACCTCCGGTAGCATGTGCTGCGCTTTCTTCACGTTCAGCGTCACACCGCGCGCGCGACACCTCTCCAGGAAGAGGCGGACACGGTCCTCCAGCTCTTCTTTGGTAGCACCACAGATCAAAACGTCGTCGACGATGCGCTGAATGCCTGGGATATCTCTGAAGCACTCGTCCATCCTCCGGTTGAAGAATTCGGAGATCGAGCTGATTCCGAATGGAGCCCTCGTCCACATGAAACGCCCGAAGGGCGTTATAAATGTGGTCAGTGGCTGGCTCTCTTCTTCCAGCGGACACTGGTGATACCCCTTGGAGGCGTCGAAGACGCTGAACCATCTCGCAGAGTCGACGATCGACGCCACACACTCTGCCGGGGTGTTAGACTGGTACAGTTCTCTGCGCACAGATTTGTTGAGCTTCGTGAAATCGACGCACATGCGGATGCCTCCGTCCTTTTTGGGAGCCACGACAATTGGTGCACAAAACTCTGTCGGTGTCGTCACTGGTATAATCATACCATCCTTCTCCAGTTTATCCAGTTCCTTCTTCAGGGGCTCCCTGAGAGCGAACGGAATGCGCCGAGGAGCATGAACAGCGTACGGTTGAGCGTCTTCCTTCAGAACAATCTTGTATTTCTCTCCTGGGATGATGTTGATCTTCTCGCTGAATACGTCGTTGTACTCGCGGAGCAATGCCGCCCACTGCTCCGTCGGTGCGCTGGCCGGCGCCGCCCGCTGCTCAGCTGGCCCTGGTGCTCCGGACCGCGCCGCCCGCTGCTCAGCTGGCCCTGGTGCTCCGGACCGCGCCGCCCGCTGCTCCGCTGGCCCTGGGGCGCCGGTCCGCGCTGCCCGCTGCTCCGCTGGCGCGCCGAGCGCCGCCGTCTGCCGCTCGGATAGCAGGCCGAGCGCCGCCGTCTGCCTCTCCACCGGCGAGCCGAGCGCCGCCGTCTGCCGCTCCACCGGCGGGCCGAGCGCCGCCGTCTGCCGCTCCACCGGCGGGCCGAGCGCCGCCGTCTGCCGCTCCACCGGCGGGCCGAACGCCGCCGTCTGCCGCTCGGATAGCGGGCCGAGCGCCGCCGTCTGCCGCTCCACCGGCGGGCCGAGCGCCGCCGTCTGCCGCTCGGCTGGCCGTGTGATTGTCCGCCGCGCCGATACCGCTGCCGTGATGTCCTGAGGAATGTTCCACTTCTGTTCGGGGTAGTCCTCTGGAATGATGCCGAGGCGCTGCGTCGTCTTCCACGACAGGATCAGACGCTTGACTCCAGGAATGATGTGGACCTGCTCGTTGACTTCGATGTCTCCCATCCTGATTGTGACCTCCACCTTGCCTATGGAGTCACAGGATCGGCCGTCGACCACCATCGGACGCACTGTTGAAGGTGTCATGCGACCACGGCCGAACGTCTCTGCAAACTCAGGGCCGGCCAGGCTGATGTCGGCTCCAGTGTCTGGAAGAGCTCGCAACTTCCCGCGCCTGGTACCGAACACGTCCACTGCAACCGTCGGCGCCGATCTGTGCTGAACACCGTTCACCGTCACCATATTCAGCTGAGTACAGTCGTCTTCACAGGCGCTCTCACCGACGGATACCGCATTGGCCCTTCTCGGCCCCAGTCTCCTGTCGCACATACGGCCCCAATGGCCGTATTCACCGCAGCGAAAACACTCGCTGTCAATGGCGGGGCAGCTGTTCTCTCCCCGGCATCGCCCGCGGCCGCAGCGGCGACAGGCCTCGCCCGGGCGATCACGTGACTGCCGGTCGGCAGCGGGCCGGGCCGCACGGGGAGGGGCGGGCTGTGCCCGGCGCCGATCCACCGGCCCAGTCCAAACGCGGTCAGTGACGTCACGGTCCGGCCGCCGACCTCGACCGACCGTGCCCGCGGGCGGCACCACCGACCGGCCACGCTGCGCAGCCGCCACGCCCGGGCCAACGCTGCCGTCCGCGATCTGAAGGGCGTCGCGCGCCGCACACTCCTCTGACCGACAAATGTTTATCGCCTCGTCCAGAGTCAGACTTTGGATGGCACACAAACGCCTGATGACATCCGCATCACGGATACCCACTACAATGCGATCGCGAATAAGGCTGTCTCTGCACCGATCACAATATCCACAGTCCCTGCTCAAGTCTCTGAGACACGTCACATAGTCGTCGAATGTCTCGCCGTCCTGTTGGATTCTCAGGTTGAATGCTCGCCTTTGCATCACCTGGCTGACTTGTCCTATAGCGTGTCGCTCCAGATTCTCGATGATTTTGCTGACGTTCTCGCCGTCTGACCTTGACAGCCCCATATTCTCGACGATATGGACGGTGTCGTCCGAGAGGCAGGATCGCAGCATCGCCAACTGCACCGCCTTGGGCTGTGCGGTCAGGCCAGAAAGTGTGACGAAGTCGGTCCATCGCGTTTTCCACGTCTTGAAGGCGGCTCCTCTGTCCACAGAGAGGTCGAGTTTATCAGGTTGTGTCAATCGACTTAACCACTGCGCTGGTAAGGCAACCACAGCACCGTGCTCACTCTCATCGTCACTAGCGGCCGGGCCCCCGCCGGGGTTCTCGGTCGGCTGCGCCATGTGTGAGTTCGCTCCGTCTCTCGTACTCGTCCGCGCTCCGTCTGCACAAACGCACTCGCTCGTGTCTAGCCGCGTACTGTTTATTGGCGCAGTGACCGGTCAGATGCTCGCTACCGGCCTGCCACCTAGCGGACACACGCAGAGCTATTAGTTAACACTCTCACAATACTGGTACTCAGAAATTTCCGTTAATCTAAGGAAAGACTACGCTCGCTTCGCTCGCTCCGTAATTAAAAGAGTACGTCTGCCTGCTACCTGACGCCATCCTCCCCCACCCCGCTGTTGTCCCGCAGGCTCGGGCGGCTCCGGCGGCCGGCTGACGGAGCGGCACGTCCTTCTCATGGACGAGGTGGATGGGATGGCCGGGAACGAGGACCGCGGCGGCGTGGCGGCCATCATCCAGCTGATCCGGGCCTCACGCGTGCCCGTCGTCTGTATGTGCAACGACCGCCACCACCCCAAGATCCGCAGTCTGTCCCAGTACTGCTTCGACCTGCGCATCAACAAACCGCGCCTCGAACAGATCAGGGTGAGAGCGGCTGTGGGGGAGAGAGCAGAGGGAGGGAGGGGCTGGTTCTGATTGACTTTGTTTTGTGTGGATACTGGGTTGCTGAGTTTGGTTATGTATGGTGTATGATTTAGAGTATCATGCGTTATTTACAGGTATATTATCGATCGAAAAAGAAAACACACAATTCCCCTTGTCATATAAGTGTAGTACCTATAGTAAACAGTCTCGAGTCTCTGCAAAAAAAAAAAACAGCCACACCGGCTGTTTTTGCCTTAACTCCACGCTCCACTGACTCCTCCTCCCTCTGCAGGGCGCCATGATGTCCGTGATGTTCAAGGAGAAGCTGAAGATCAGTAAGGAGCAGCTGGACGCGCTGATTACCAGCACCAACCAGGACATCCGTCAGGTGCTGCACCTGCTCTCGGTGTCGGCGGCGCAGCAGCGGGCGGCGCCGGCCGGCGGACGCACTGCCAAGGACACACGGCTGGTGCGTCAGAGGGGGGGGGGGGACGGAGTCGACTGGGGAGGGTGGGTCTGCTCGCTTTAAAGTTGTTATCACAAAGGAGTAGGAGGAGGAGGTGGGGTGAGTACCTAGACGAGCTCTACGGTTTCTTAGTGAGGTCTGATGAGACGTAGAGAAAGGGTCATGAAAGGGACTGTGTTGAACAGCTGCGATGGTTGAAGTCTGTGCTCTCACGCTACTGTCTCCCCGTCCCCCTACGGTACAAGTTTGACGTGGTGCAAAAGATAACGTTACCCTGCCTCCCCCGTCCCCCGTAGGGCGCGTTTGACGTGGTGCAGAAGGTATTTAGCGCCAAGGAGCGTCAAGGTATCTGCCGTGAAAAGGAAAAGAAGCGTAACTCGCTTTTGACGATTTTTCAGGAGAGCGATTTTTCTGTTTTACCTTGTATTATCGTCAGTTCTTAAATAATCAAAGAAAACTTGGTGTCAAACTGTTCGCACTACTGCACTGAACCTAACAGTGTTAATATTTTTTACGTGGCATATAAGATATTGCTAGAAAATGGTGTAAGGTGTTTTTGCTTTTCACTCGATGCTCAAATTGCAGCGAGGCATGTAGGGAAGAAAAGCGTAACTACATTCGCTCCAGTCCGGCAACCGTATGTGCAGCGCGCGGCTCCATAGCGAAATGCAAAAGAAGCGTAACTACGTAGTTACGCTTCTTTTGCTTGCGAGATCTTATGGTATCGGTGAATATGCGGTGTTTCAAATACGCTAGGACGAAAACGTCTTTTCTCCATTTCGGATGCCTAGATGCTTTTCAAAATAGCTCACGACTTTTCATGCTAAGACTTCATGCTTCATGCTTAGCAATCGCGGCCGTCAGGTCGCCACCTTCGGTGCTGGCAGGTCAGACAAGCTGGACGGCCGTGGGGTCGCCTATACCGGTGCTAGCAGGCCGGACAGCCGTGGGGTCGCCTATACCAGTGCTAGCAGGCCGGACGGCCGTGGGGTCGCCCCTGTCGGTGCTGGCAAGTAGGGCAGGTCGAGCGGCCGCCTCCTTCGGTGCTGGCAGGTCGGGCAAGCTGGGCGGCCATATGGTCAGCTCTGCCGGTGCTGGCGGGTCGGGGGGCCGTGGGGTCGCCTCCGCCGGTGCTGCAAGGCCAAGTGGCCGTGGGGTCGCCTCCTTCGGTGCTGGCAGGTCAGGCTTCCTTGGGGCTGCCCCTGTCGGTGCTGGTAGGTCGGGCAGGCCGGGCGGCCACGTTGTCGGCTGTCGCCCATGTTGGTGCTGGGAGGTCGGGAAGCCTGGCGGCCTTTGGGTCGCCTCTTCTGGTGCTGGCAGGTCGGGCAAGCCGGGCGGCCGTGGGGTCACCTTTGCCGATGCTGGCGGGTCAGGCGGCCGTGGGGTCGTCTTTGCCGGTGCTGGCAGGCCGGGAGGGCGTGGGGTCACCTCTGCCGGTGCTGGCAGGTCGGGCGGCCGTGGGGTCGCCTCATTTCGAGCTGGCAGGCCGGGTGGCCACGTTTTCGCCTCTGTCAGTTCTGACAGTCCGAGCGGCCGCGGGGTTTCATCTGTCTGTGCTGGTAGGCCGGGCGGCCGTTGGGTCGCCTAAGCCGGTGCTGGCAGGCCGGGTAGCCTTAGGGTCGCTCCTGTCGGTTCTGGCAGGTCGGGCGGCCTTGGGGTCGCCCCTGTCGGTGCTGGGAGGTCGGGCAGGCCGGGCGGCCACGTTGTCGGCTGTCGCCCCTGTTGGTGCTGGGAGGTCGGGCAAGCCTAGCGGCCTTTGGGTCGCCTCTTCTGGTGCTGGCAGGTCGGGCAAGCCGGGCGGTCGTGGGGGTCACCTCTGCCGGTGCTGGCGGGTCGGGTGGCTGTGGGGTCGCTTTGTTTCGTGCTGGCAGGCCGGGCGGCCATGTTTTCCCCTCTGTCAGTTCTGACAGTCCGCGCAGTCGCGGGGTTTCATCTGTCTGTGCTGGCAGGCCGAACAGGCCGGACGGCCTTGGCGGGGTAGCCTCTGCCCTTGCTGGCAGGCCGGACAGCCGTGGGGTCGCCTCTGCCGGTGCTGGCAGGTCGAGCAGGCCGGGCGGCCACGTTGTCGCCTCTGCCGGTGCTGGCAGGCCGGGCAGCCGTAGGGTCGCCTCTGCCGGTGCTGGCAGGTCGGGCAGGCCGGGCGGCCACGTTGTCGCCTCTGCCGGTGCTGGCAGGCCTGGCGGCCTTGGGGTAGCCTCTGCCGTTGCTGGCAGGTCGGGCAAGCCGGGCGGCCGTGGTGTCGCCTCTGCCGTTGCTGGCAGGTCGGGCAAGCCGGGCGGCCGTGGGGTCACCTCTGCCGGTGCTGGCAGGCCGGGCAGCCTTGGGGTAGCCTCTGCCGTTGCTGGCAGGCCGGGCAGCCGTGGTGTCGCCTCTGCCGGTGCTGGCAGGTCGGGCAAGCCGGGCGGCCGTGGGGTCACCTCTGCCGGTGCTGGCAGGCCTGGCGGCCTTGGGGTAGCCTCTGCCGTTGCTGGCAGGCCGGGCAGCCGTGGGGTCGCCTCTGCCGGTGCTGGCAGATCGGGCAATTCGGGCGGCCGTGGGCTCGCCTCCACCGGTGCTGGCAGGTCGGGCAGGCCGGGCGGCCACGTTGTCGCCTCTGCCGGTGCTGGCAGGCCTGGCGGCCTTGGGGTAGCCTCTGCCGTTGCTGGCAGGTCGGGCAAGCCGGGCGGCCGTGGGGTCACCTCTGCCGGTGCTGGCAGGCCTGGCGGCCTTGGGGTAGCCTCTGCCGTTGCTGGCAGGCCGGGCAGCCGTGGGGTCGCCTCTGCCGGTGCTGGCAGGTCGGGCAAGCCGGGCGGCCGTGGGGTCACCTCTGCCGGTGCTGGCAGGCCTGGCGGCCTTGGGGTAGCCTCTGCCGTTGCTGGCAGGCCGGGCAGCCGTGGTGTCGCCTCTGCCGGTGCTGGCAGGTCGGGCAAGGCGGGCGGCCGTGGGGTCACCTCTGCCGGTGCTGGCAGGCCTGGCGGCCTTGGGGTAGCCTCTGCCGTTGCTGGCAGGCCGGGCAGCCGTGGGGTCGCCTCTGCCGGTGCTGGCAGGTCGGGCAATTCGGGCGGCCGTGGGCTCGCCTCCACCGGTGCTGGCAGGCCGGGCAGGCCGGGGGGCCACGTTGTCGCCTCTGCCGGTGCTGGCAGGCCTGGCGGCCTTGGGGTAGCCTCTGCCGTTGCTGGCAGGCTGGGCGGCCGTGGGGTCACCTCAGCCGGTGCTGGCAGGCCTGGCGGCCGTGGGGTCACCTCTGCCGATGCTGGCGGGTCAGGCGGCCGTGGGGTCGTCTTTGCCGGTGCTGGCAGGCCGGGAGGGCGTGGGCTCAACTCTGCCGGTGCTGGCAGGTCGGGCGGCCGTGGGGTCGCCTCATTTCGTGCTGGCAGGCCGGGTGGCCACGTTTTCGCCTCTGTCAGTTCTGATGGTCCGAGCGGCCGCGGGGTTTCATCTGTCTGTGATGGCAGGCCGGGCGGCCGTGGTGCCGTTGGGTCGCCTATGCCGGTGCTGGCAGGTCGGGCGGCCTTGGGGTCGCCCCTGTCGGTGCCGGCAGGTCGGGCGGCCTTGGGGTCGCCCCTGTCGGTGCTGGCAGGTCAGGAGGCCTTGGGGTCTCGCCCCTGTCGGTGCTGGCAGGTCGGGCAAGCCGGGCGGCCGTATGGTCAGCTCTGCCGGTGCTGGCAGGTCGGGAGGCCTTGGGGTCGCCCCTGTCAGTTCTGGCAGTCCTGGTGGCCGCGGGATTTCATCTGTCGGTGCTGGCAGGCCGGACAGGCTGTGCGGCCGTGGGGTCGCCTCCTTCGGTGCTGGCAGGTCAGGCTCCCTTGGGGTCGCCCCTGTCGGTGCTGGGAGGTCGGGCTGGCCGGGCGGCCACGTTGTCGGCTGTCGCCCCCGTTGGTGCTGGGAGGTCGGGAAGCCTGGCGGCCTTTGTATCGCCTCTTCTGGTGCTGGCAGGTCGGGCAAGCCGGGCGGCCGTGGGGTCACCTCTGCCGATGCTGGCGGGTCAGGCGGCCGTGGGGTCGTCTTTGCCGGTGTTGGCAGGCCGGGCGGGCGTGGGGCCGTTGGGTTGCCTATGCCGGTGCTGGCAGGTCGGGCGGCCTTGGGGTCGCCCCTGTCGGGACTGGCAGACCGGGCAAGCCGGGCGGCCATATGGTCAGCTCTGCCGGTGCTGGCTGGCCGGGCGGCCATGTGGGGTTGGGTCGCCTCTCTTAATGCTGGGATGTCGAATGCAGGTGGGAAGATCCCGCCCCTGATCGTCCTATTTCACCAGAACTCGCTCGACTCTACTCCTGATTTCACATTTTCCTTTAGCTGCACGTGGACCTTTGTTCCGTATTTTTTTTTTTATCGTTTTAGTTCTAAACCTCTTCAGAGACCAAGTCTGCTCCCAAACCGCAATTTGCACACGCTTCTGATAGAGTTCACAGCGAGCATGCACCACAATAAATAAAATAAACTATTTGATATCGCTCGTGTGGCCTTAGTCCAGGGTATGGCATGGCACCCCATACCTATACCTACTATTTCAAGTTGGTGGTTTTGAACTTTGGTTGCTTTTATCTTACAGTTTTCCTCCATTCAAACGCCCGGATTCCTACTAGAAGATATTGGTGAAACATAGAAAGGCGGGAAACGCAAGCAAGAAGGGCTTAATATATTTTTAATGCAAATTTTCCTGGCAGAATTAAACTTCTACCAAGTGTTATGTACTTACCTGAAAGGCAAAAAAAGCGCAAGTGCGTAAAAGTCAGCGCGGTGATAAGCAAGAAAAGCGCAACTACTTAGTTGCGCTTTTCTTGCCTATCACATCGTCCTGACCGCTGCAGATACGCTTTTTTAATAGCTGCGTTTGTAGTTACGCTTTTTTTGCTTGCGGTCAGGGAGGATGAAAAACATTTACGCTTTTCTCGAAAAAGAAAATTTGATATAACTCGAAAAATTATACGAATTTCGAAAAACGGTTTTGCAGAAAGATGGAGATTGCTATTCTCTATCTAATGGTATCAAAATCTCAAAATCGAAAAAATGCGAGTTACGCTTTTCTTGGTTGTCACGGCAGGTATGTCCATCGACGACAAGGTGCGGCTATTTTTCTACGACTACAGCCTGGGCCCGCTGTTCGTCCAGGAAAACTACCTCAGAGCGAATGCTCACGCCGCACGGTGAGTGAAAAACAGAAGGTGGAAGATCGAACTAGGTGGATAGGGACGACCGATGTGTTATTTTGTGTGCTTATGAACTTAGGATTTTACCCGATGAATTTACGCTTTCATCATTATCCCGATTGATTGCTGAGTTCCAAGCCCACCGTCAAATGCAGTTCCAAAGCCACTTTGTGACCGTAGATATAGTTACGTTACGATCAGTCACTAACATTTTTTACCTCGATATCGATCATTGACGATCCATCTTCGTTGATGACAGCGTCATAACACTCTATTCCACTCCCTGCGCTGTGCTGTGATACGAGCATGTGCAAGCATTCATCTATCCCAAGTGACCCGTCTCTCCTGTATATTGCAGCGGCAGCAGTCAGAAGCAGCTGGACCTGCTCAGTCAGGCAGCTGACTCCATCTGTGACGGCGACCTGGTCGACAACTGCATCCGGTCCGGACAAAACTGGAGCCTACTGCCCACGTTTGTGAGTGGAGCTGGCGCAGTGGGACCGTTCAGTATGTGTGTGAGCAGAGAGCCCGACTCCGGGCTTACTTAGTGGATAGGGGCCCTGTTTCACCGTGCTATTACACGTGTCAAATTGGGTTTCCATGGAAACATTAACAAACCATGACGCCGTCAATCTGTGTGATGTCATCAAATATAGCTACTAACATCTTCACGGCCGTGCGATCAAACAAATGTATCAAACGCAATTCAACGAGACAGCAACTCTGTTCCAAACGCAGCTCACGGATTACACGAAACGTCATCAGTGTGACCTCATCACATTACGTCAGCTCGCGCAATTTGATAGTAGCGTGCTGCTAGCACCGGTGAAACAGGGCCAGGGTGACACATTTGACACAACGCTTTCTCGCCGTTTATGAGTGAAGTGGCCGGCAGTGGATCTCCCGACGATGTTCTTGGGTATAAACTGTAATATCACAGCTTTGATTTGATTAGCGATTTGTCCGGTAACCACCACGACCATATGTCATGTGCTCAGCGACGGGTCCCACCCCCGTCGCTCTCTCGTAAACTCCACCCGCTCCCCTTCTCTCTCCCCCTAGGCGGTGTACAACACGCTGATCCCGGGAGAGCTGCTCTCGGGCCACCTGAACGGCCGCGTCGAGTTCCCCCAGTGGCTCGGAAAGAACTCGACACGAAACAAGACGGTGCGCCAGGTCCAGGACGTGCAGGCGCACATGAGACTCAGGTCGGTGGAAAGTTGAGCTAGACCAGATTTGGAATGTTTGCGCAACTTGGTATTTGACATTTTCATGATCTTCTTATCTAATTTTGATCTCCTTGTCTTCGTGACATTTTGGATCATGCGCACATTTCGTTTGCCTTCTTGTTTTCAAGCTCAGTAATTTGCTATTTTTGTTTTTACAGCTTCCATTATTCGATCGAAGTGTGATGCGCACCGCACATTTGTCTCCTACCAGTCCTTTTTTAAATCAGAGGCTGCCCTACCAGTGCCCACTGCCTGTGCACTGTATGCTGTGCGTACCGCCTCCGCAGGATCTCTGGGAGCCGTCAGGACGTGCTGATGGACTACTGCGGCCCGCTGCGGGACCTCGTCACCCGTCCACTGGTCAGCGGGGAGCAGGACGGCGCCGCACAGGCCGCGCAGAACATGTTCAGCTACGACCTCATGGTGGGTGTTGTATATACGGCGGGGAGGGTGTGGACGGGCAGCGGGATCAGGGTGGGACGGCAGTGGGATGGAAAGGGGACGGAGTTTGTGGAGTTGCCTTTGGTTACGGATCTGACCCCCTTTGTGAATAATGAAGATGCCTGTGTCTGTTGTATCCCTGTTTCGATTTTGACCGACTTGTTCTGGTTTCGCTGTTTTTCCAGCGTGAGGACCTGGACGACCTGATTGAGATCGCCACCTGGTCGGGCCGCACCGGGGACCCCATGGCACGGCTAGACTCCAAGGTGAGCGACATATTGTGCAATTTTTACTTCCAGCTCATGGTACGAGTGTCTAAAAACACTGCACGCCGTCCAATACATATTTTCCTGCATCACGCCTTTCTTCCTCCCTGCTCCTGACATTCACCCCGCCCCTTCCCCACCCCCAGACGAAGGCGGCGTTCACGCGCGCGGTGCGAGGCGGACACCACAGCTACCCGTACGCCAGCATCCAGGAGGCCAGCAAACGGCGGAAGGGTGACTCGGACCCCCTGCTGGGAGAGGACGGAGACCAGGAGGACGGCGGAGAGGAGGAACAGGAGGACGAGGACGTCACCAAGGACAAAATGATCAAGGTAGGCCGTTCTTGTTAATTAATTTAGTTGGGCTGCGGCTGCATTTACAGTTTTTGGGTATCATTGGTGCCGATTGCATCGGTGAGTACAACTAACGAGGTGTGTGCATTTACAGGTGAAGGCGACAAAGGCATCGAAAGGAGCGTCCAAGAACGAACCATCAACATCAAAAGGAAAGGGAAGAGCAAAGGGCAAGAAGTGACCGATTATCCGACCGCGTATGCATCGATAAAATGGATCATGGTAAGGTCATAAGCTGTCATGGCGCTGTAAATTATGGACTTTTTCAAACGTATCCGACGATTGCTCCTTTCTCTTTACTGCCCTACGTTTGTTTGCGTTGGCGTAGGAAAATAAAAGGGGAGGGGACTGGAACCTCTTAAATGGCATATCCTACTGCATACGAAGCAAAGCCTCATGTAAGAAGTAAACAGCTTGAAGCGAATCTGCCACCAGTTCTCCGGCATCTCTTTTGAACTAATGAAGCAAACATTTTCCGTTCAGTATCATTCGTTTATTGTTACAGCCGCATATCCTCCTCTGTTTGGTCGTTCACAGTTACCGTGGCAACCAAGTAGAACAGAAAACAACCAACATCTTCCCGTCGTACCGAAACCATAACATATCCTGCGATTGAAGTACGGGAGCGACAATGCCACGTCTATTCATCAGCCCAATTGGCGACGCCCGTCTCAGCATACCACTCGACTTGAGCTGTGTCGACCCGCCAGTTCTATATCCGCGATCAATATGCATTCATCGCTAGCGATGGCCCAGGCCAAGGCGATACCTGACGCCTTTTGTCCTTGTAGACACGCTGTAACAGTGGAAAGAAAGGAGAAGAACAAGAGACGCGTGATATATGACAAGAACGGCCCTTTTAGTGCAGTTGACTATTGACATGTAGCACTCGAGGCCTGTCTTCCTTGCCCTTTGAGTTGCGTCAAGGCCTCTCTTCTCTACCGTTGATTGTGATAGGACGGATCGACTACCTTATTCCATTAATGCTATAACAGGAGCATGCGCTTTTAATATAAGTGTGCTGTTTCAAAGCTCCGTGAAGTATAATTGAATGGATACACACCATGCTGGCATGCGAGGATAGCCAGCCTGACGTGATCGGTAACAAGCATAGGTTTACGTGCGTGAAACATCTGTAAACGACTACTGTGAAATGAACAGTCATCCCATGTGACATAGATGTACTACTGTTAACGCCAGACCCCTTGAGACCCTAATTTTTCGCGATTATTTTTAAATGCGCGGAGGAATTTCAACCAAGCTCAGGACATGGCCGTTTCAAGACAGGCCGAAACTTTTACAATTTAGATATTTTATCGCCATTTCAATATTTCAGGCACTTGTCATTGACTCGTAATGTTAACTGTTTTTCCATCCTGGATAGAGGCTTTCTACGTCATATGACATTAGGCTCCGCCCACGACTACGGCATTGACCCGTGCCCATCAGCGACCTCTGTACAAACGACACCCCTGCCATCTGTGAAGGACTATGAATTTCGCTGACGCTTCACGTGCTATGAGTCAATTGCAGCAGACGGTCAAGTAAATGTTAGGCTCTTGTTGACTGTTGTATATAGGACCAAGAGGACCATCACTCCTCAACCTACTACTCAGTCGTGCTTCGAACAAACGTTAACGATTCCTAACAAATACGATTTTCGAGGTAGGGTATCTGTTTGAAATACGAGCGAGCCTTATGATGTGAAGCGAAGGCAATTAACTTATTATTGCGTTGTTCGATGGTTGCATAGCGATGTACAAATCGGCAGCTACTTGGTGACATCCGACATCCCATTATCGCATTATCTGCAACGCCATAGGCTTTAAATACAGGTGAATATTTCCTAACCTTATGTCAGTTATATGCCATCTGTCCGTCATTTGCAGCTTATAAAAAAAAAATATATCAGCGAACATATCAGCATTGTAGAAGCAATGCGCATTGAGCATTTATGGCTCCTTAGTCATCATGTCGCTCTCTGGGCACTGTCAGCCAAGACGCTACGCACAACTCCGCCGGCTTTCGGCACCGCTCGACCGTCGCCCGTCCCCGCTCCCCGCCACAGCGAGAGTGACCGCGCGCCGGCCCGAAACCGCCGCAGGCCAAGACCACAGAGGCGGGGCTTAGCTGTGACGTCATAACGTATCACAGACTGACTGGTGATAGCCTCTACACACCGGATGAAAATCTTGCTCGAAATTTAACATTACGAGTCAATGACAAGTGCCTGAAATATTGAAATAGCGATAAAATATCTAAATTGTAAAAGTTTCGGCCTGTCTTGAAACGGCCATGTCCTGAGCTTGGTTGAAATTCCTTCACGCATTTAAAAGTAATCGTGAAAAATTAGGGTCTCAAGGGGTCTGGCGTTAACGACGCAAACACGCGCTAACACAGACCATACATGTCCCCACACACTATCCGTGCCGTCGGTGCCTTTGGCCTCTGTTTCCGTTCCATCACATCCCGTGTCCTCCCGTCCAGCAGAGGTAACTCTCTGTAGCACCGGTGACCGGGTCACGCCCCGCTCCCTCGTCGGCCGTCACCCGACTGGTCGCTCAGGTCATGATGGGCGCCCCGGTGTAGTCCTTGCTGTCCTGCTCCCGCAGCTGTAGGAAGAAGCTCAGCACCACCGCGTAGCAGTAGCCGCTGACGGTGGCGATGACCAGCTGTAGCACAATCACCGCCCACGTCTCCGGCGCCGCCTCCAGACTGGCGGCTGCGGCCAGCAGCTCCGTCAGCGCCAGCAGCAGCTGGCCGACCAGCAGCAGGCCCTGCCAGCCGAGCCAGGGCAGCAGGAGGCGGCGCCGGCGGCGGGCGGCCGCCACCAGCAGCGCCAGGTCCACCGGCAGGCTGGCCAGCAGCAGGGCAAGCAGCAGCAGCGCGCCCACCCGCACGGCGCGGCTCAGCGTGTCCAGGTCGGGCGGCGGCAGGCCGTCGGCGGCCGGCGCCGGCGCCACCTCGGGCTCTGTGGCCAGCAGCCGGCGCACCAGCCGCGCGTCGGCCAGCAGCAGCGCCAGCCACAGCGCGCCCAGCGCGTCCACCAGACAGTGCAGCAGGCTGATGGTGGTGACGCCGTCCCGCAGCGAGCAGCAGCAGCACGACTTGAGACGGCGCAGACGCATCGCGCCGGCCGTGCGAGCCTCACTGGCGCCGCCCGAGACGGTCACTGAGGCTGAAGTAGAGGCTGGTGCTGTACCTGCTGTTGTTGCCGTTGTAACAGCTAGAACGGTGACCGCTGGTGTTTTCGTAGCCGGTGGTTCTGCTGCCCCGGCCGCTCAGCCGCCGTTTCCACCTCAGCTGGCGCGTCTTCAGCTTCTGTCGCTCTCACTGCCGCAGGACAGAGCGGGGGATGGTAACAGATGTGACAATACCTCACTCTGGTGTCGGGGTATAAGGTTGAGATTAGCGCCGGCGACCAGCGCAGTCGCAGCGTTCCCCAAAGCACAGACATCATCAATCCATTGGGGCATAAATAGTGCATGCCACTGCTATTGCACCCTGGCCCTTAGGGACATGTGCATTTACTCAGTGGTCATCGAACCAGTTTTCAGGCCGTAATTCTGTTTGAAATCGTTGGCTGTTTTTTACATCTGCAGTCAGACGTCAGGGTGCCCTAAAATAAGCATGAAGTCATTTATTCCCTTTTTATTTCCCAAACCCTGAATTTCTAGTACCTAAACAGCCTCGAACCTTTTCTCCCATTGGAGACGGGTGGGGTGCCGGGTGAGTTAACCGTCCTTTCACTTGTGCAAACAGTGAATACGGTCACCAGTTACACCTCCGAAACATCGGTCCGCCTAACACAAAACCATGCAAAACGGCGAGCACTATCGCAGTGTCTATGTATTCGTTTGAAGGTCCAAACAGTGCCATTCTTGGTAACTATCGACTGACAACGACTTCTCTCACCTGACGGGTGGAAATAGTTGCCATCTCCACCCATCCTCTAATTGATGGTCAGATTTTCTCTATGTCTGCCGCCCTGCCCCACTCACCTCTCACCTCCCTATGTAGGCCGTTTTGTGACTCCGAGCCGCACACCGGTCAGCTCGGCGCCCCCACACCCGGGTCTGTGCCGCCGTACGGTCAGCTCGGCGCCCCCACTCCCGGGTCTCTGCCGCCCTCCACACAGCTGTCGTACCGTCTCCCCTCCCCGGCCGGCTGACTGCAGTCGGCGGCGGCAGACGCGGTCAATACTGCCCAGAGGCGAGCCTGGCGCACCGGCGGCGACTCTGACGCACCACCGGCGAATGTCGCGCCACCTGGACGCAGCCAGGGTGGGCAGGGGTCGCCGGCGGCGGGCACTTTGACTTTTGTCGACTTTTTACAGCTGTGCGTAACTTTTAGGGGATAGGTTAGTTTGTTCGACTGCCTAATACATGCTCTGCTCTTTAATATATGATTTACCTTTGCTAGACTCGTCATGATTGTGATTATGCTCGAGTATTAATTCTCTTGATTGCGATTTAAGTTTTTTTCTATCTAAAAAAATGCTGTGATTTGCGTGTGTGGTAGATCGGACCAGACTGCATCAGACAATCAGGCGCAATGGGGGTCCATTTGGTCATTCATTATAATAACGTGATCCACCACATATGTAGGTAAACGGAGTGAAAAACAGTTTCCAATTCACTAAGTGGATGTAAAATTCGAAATCAACAAAAGCTACCTCGGAAAGAGCGCCGTCTCACCGCTCTATCCCTTCCGTTGTTCCAGGTCGGCCGACTTGTGATAACATTGATCCTCACAACTGCTGGGGACGACGAGGCGGTAAGGACGACTGGAGGGAATCGCTCCTCCGTGAGTACAATGGGACGGGAGTACCCGCGACCTGCGAGTCGATTAGGCCTGACGGGGAGGACGGCCAGAATAATTCGCTCGAGTTTCGAACGCCCGAGCTGGTGGGGTGACGCGGCGCCTCTCAGTTGTCACTGAATGGGATGGTAAACTTTGTGCCTGAGAAAATGTTCGGAACTGGAAGCGACTGGTTCCGACTTAGGGTGCTGTTGGTGAAATTGTTCTGTTCAACTAGGGTCGTACCTGCTCGTAAGTGACTTGTGATTGAACCCTGATGAACCTCGCTAGTATTCGTACGGCACCGTGACTTGCTTGCTGCTGTATTTGCTTATCCCTGTGCCCAGGTCAGTTTCACAGCCTCGCTACATGAAAGTGCAGTTCTGATTGCCTTATCTCATTTCGTGAACTGTTTTGCCCTTGCCGCATGGTAAATGTTTTGTCGAAATGTGATATCGAAATCAGCATGGTGCAAGTGGAATCGAGACATGCGTGTATGCTGCCATTCACTTATCACTAAGGTCATTGCATTTGCATTTCTTTCACGCGAGTCACCTGATCAATGATCATTGAACGCCTCATCATTTTTCATGCCGTTGCAGCCACGTGATCCGTCATCACGCCACCCAGTTGATATAAGTCCCAAGCCGATTGTCTGGGTGAATTGTGGATAACATTGAAATGCAGGTAAATACACGTCGTCACTAATAATTCATGTTTGATGTTGCGTTGTAACTTCGCAATTTCGAGCCTCCGCAACTTGCACAGCAGACTATGTAGAGTGATTGTCACGAGGTGTTGGCGAATGATTTTTTCGACTGCACCAGCCATTAGCCAATGACTTGGTCTGTTACATCCGAATCAACTGGTTTTGTAGCGCAAGCTGGGCATTCAGGTGTAAAATATGAGAGTAGGGGAGAGTGGGGTAAGATGCCCAGGGTGGGAAAGACGCCCCACCCCCTCTAGCGGCGAAACAAAGAATCGAACCTGGAAATTAATGTTCTTAGCGTAAAGCGGAAGCCTGCCTTGTTAACTGCACAAAAATTTGCGAGGCTCAGTTGGGCAACGGTTGGCTGGTGATTGCATGTTTTTTATTTGCTGCTTTCGAAAAATATTTTGGTGTCAAAACATTGTAAATATCAAAGAAGGTAGATAATTTTTGCGTCCCTTGCTATAGTCGTGATAAATTAACATGCGTGTACTGTGTCCCAAACAGTTTGTTTCAGGGTGTAGTTTTATGGCTAACAAATTGTACTGATTTAATGTTACCTCGGTACCTTGGGGTAAGATGCCCCCTGTCCTGATGGGGAAAGACGCCCCCCCCTAAATCCGTAGGCTGTCCTTCAAGCAGCCCGTCAAATCATTTATTACATACCTGTGATGAGAGACAAAAGCCGATCTGGGACTATTGAGAGTCCAGTACGGTCGGGTGCTCCCCATGCCGGTCTCTCGGCACACACAGCGACTTTTTGAGCGGCATCTGACTCTGAGAGCCCTTACGACGGCCTCTGTGGGCCACATTATTGGCTCCAGGGCCCCTCACGACAACCTTTGAGGGCTCCCACGTTGGCTCCACGGGCCGCGCTGGCATCTGAGGTCCCCACGATGGGCTCGAGGGCCCTCAAGCATCATGAAGACCTATAAGGGCCCCACAGTGGTCTCCGAACGCCACCACGGAGGCTTGTTTGGCCGCGCTGGACTATGATGGCCCTAAAGATGACCTCTGAAGCCCCTTACGACTACTTTTGAGGGTCCTTACGATGACGTTTGGTGTCTACTGCAGGCCCGAAGGGACTACTGATTCGTTCAGGCGATTCACGTGCCCATTTATGTCACTTATAGTGCAGGGGGCATCTTACCCAACGCCAGGGGGCGTCTTTCCCACCCTGTGGGGTAAGATGCCCCCTTTCACTTCTTCAGGAAAATGCTTAATAGCAAAAAAAGTTATCATATTTCAAGCACGAAAGTGTGATATTTTTGGAGAAAAATGATGTCGGCTTCCGTTGAAACTACAAGTTTTTGCTTTCCGATCGTCATTTTCGAATAATATATGACATAGTAAAACCCTGGGCATCTTTCCCCACTCTCCCCTACTTTACCAGTATAACGCCTTTTGGGGCGACTGACGGAGCGAGCGAGAGGGTGGGCCTTGCACGTGCGAAATTGCGAGGGGGTACCTCCAACTGACTTGTGCACGGCACCCTACTAACCGGTCTCTAGCGATGTGCCAAATTTGGGCACAATCGGCCCAGCTGTTCTCGAGATCTGGAAGCGGCACCCTGCACGTGCGCACGTGCAAAATGGGTCCCAACTGACTTGTGCACGGCACCCTACTAACCGGTCCCTAACTGTGTACCAAATTTGAGCGCAATCGGTCGAGCCGTTCTCGAGATCTGGAAACGACCCCTGCACGTGCGCACGTGCAGCAGCACCCCAACTCTGGCACATGGATATGCAGTGCTTAGTGGCCGGGTGCCTACCTACATGCCAACTTTCAGCGCAATCGGCCAAGTAGTTACCGAGATATTGCAACAATTACCAAACTGACACCTCTTCGTTTTGCACGTGGCACGTGCATAAGGGGTCACCCACATGCATCGGGAATAGTCCAATACTTGGTAGAAGGAATGAAGCTACCCTACAAAATTTACCGCATGTAAATCGGTCAAGTGGTTGCTGAGATATAAGCCTCGCAAAAGCGTGACCACGGCCGGCCGGCCGGCCGGCCGCTCATACTCAGAAATTTCCGTTAATCTAAGGAAAGACTACGCTCGCTTCGCTCGCTCCGTAAAAAGTAAACAAAACAAAGGGTTAAACCTCGTCCGCCTCGGCCCACCGTCTGCCGACGGTCGGCGGCCGCTGACGGACCGCCGCGCGCCGCGTCTGTTGGTCGGTTGTCATGGTGCGTTCACGGGCCGCGGTAGCGGCTGCCCTCGTCGCTCGCTGCACCGCTCGCCGCTCGCCAGTCGATCGGCCCAGACCAGTAGCCCGCGGCGGCGGCCGACAGCGGCACCCCTTTTTAGTTTGCCACGTGGGACTCAGGTGGAAGCTCGGAATTTCCAGTGTCAATTTCAAGTGAAATTTTCACAACTTTTGCATTTCGGTGAAATTATTGTTTACGGTCTTCGGTGATAAATTATTTGTGTATTTTTCTTGGACATTTTTTTTCTCGGCTCGTTTTGATGTGGTTTTATCGGACAGTCAACTTAAACCGAATGGGTTAAATTGTGAGTTGAGTGAAGGCTAATCCCTGGTGACCGGTCAAGTGTCACCACCGTTCCGGGCTCGAGCATGTAGGTCATGATTGACCTGGCGAGCTTTTTGCGCGGAGAAATGTTTTGTGATGGCCTCTAGTGAGTCCCAGGCTCGTCTGACGCAAACGGAGCCGGCCAAATGGATCGTGGTCTACAAGAATGGCGACCAGCACTTCGCCGGCCGTCGGATGGTCGTCAAACCGCGAGAGATCAAAACATTCGACGTAAGTCCTTTTTAATTCAATACTGTATTTGTTGCAATCTATCATTCGACATTCAGTGTATGAACTTCCAGATCCAGGTTTGCTATATTGGTACGAGCACTACTAGCTTTTCATTACCCAAATGGACTTTCGTCACCCGTCGATGGAAGCTATTGTGTCGATTGCGATTGGCGCCTCGTCGATAGCTTGCCGTCAGCTGTGACACGTCGACTTTCCGACTGACAAATAGCTATTGTCGAGTGAGGCCGAGTGGACATCCAGCTAGCATTCGATACTGGCAGCATTCGTGTGGTGTATTACAATGGTGTTGCTGTCATTCGCTGAGAACTGTCTGTCCGCACCACTCTGATCTGTTCCGCAGTGCAGCCATGCGTTGCGGCACAGTCTATATCCGCAGGCACTCTGCCGCGCCGAGCCCTGCCTGTCCGACAGCTCGAGTTGACGCTCTGACGCGGTGATGATGCGCCTTCACAGAGCCTGCTGGAGGAGGTGACACTGAAGCTGAGCCCCAGCTTCGGCGCCGTGCGTAACATCTTCACACCGGAGGGCGGCACGCGTGTGTCCAGCCTCACCGACCTCAAGCCGAACGGGAAGTATGTGGCGTCACCGAACGAACCGTTCCGGCAACTGTCCAGGACCAGGTGGGTCAGCCGCTGCACTGGGCAGAGGTGCGGCAATAAGGCGTGCCATTTCACTCATCGATTACTTGACTATTTGTGCCTCATAACTGTTCTGTGTGTGGGAGAAGAGGGAGACTCTTCTATGTATCAGATACAATTTTGCTAGGCAATGCTAATCAAAAGGGGTAATAACTTAGTTATTATTTCAAACCATAGAACCTTGAGAGCTGTTTATCGCTTTGATTATGTCCAGTATCGCTTTGATTATGTCCCTCCTGTGGGCGTGTGTGTACTTAACAGCTACCCATAGCTGCAAAAAAAAAAACTCAGAACAAAAATGTTTTTAGGGCTTCCAATTTCCGTCACCTTGTAGCGTTACGCCGGGACTCGTTTCGCATTCGTGTCCGTAGAAACAGAGTTGGCCAATAGTGTCGTTTACCGTCCCTGGACGTTATCGTGACATCCCTCCTGCGTTTCGCTGAGGCGATAACAGGGCAGTGTGACAGGCGAGGTCAGGCAATCGAGGACACTCCTATAAACAGGTCTTCTTCCCTGGCTGCCGTGCTTTGGAGTTGGCCGCTGCTTTGATCCAAAACACGCACCCAGCTAACGAATTGACATGCAACGAATCTCAGTTATTGTTGTGGGGATGATAGTTCAGCTAATTGGAGCTGTCAGCCTTCATACGAGACTAAAATCGACTGTCTGTTTGAATTTTCCACGCTTCCGAAGAACTAGAGTTTAACTCATTTCGACACACGCATCAAGTAGACCTAAGGCTAATCCACTGGGTAAACCGAGTTCATCATGCTTGCCTCGGTTTCCATAAATTTAACATCCCCCGTACCCACTTGTTGGCAGGTACGGGAGCTCCCAGTGCAGAGTACTGGGAGCCAGGGTACTGTACTGGGATGGAGTACTGGGTATCTCCATCTAACATTATCCGTACCCTCGTGTTGACAGGTACGGGGAGCTCCCGGTACAGAGTACCTTCATCTAACATTCCCCGTACCCTCGTATGTTGACAGGTACGGTGAGCTCCCGGTACAGAGTACCAGTACCAGCCACAGCCACGTCTCTCTGCAGCCGGTCAAAGATAAGGTGAGATTGCCACATTCTGGTTTGTGACCGCCGTGTGTTTCTCCGCCCTTCAATCTCCGCATTTTCGTCCTGTTCGTATTTTCCTTACTCCGTGTGGGGTATCCGTTTATGCGTTCACATGGCTACGTGCCGATTGGAGGGCAGCTATCGGGCTGTCCATCTTCGTCACTCATTACGGTTTCATGATACAAGGACACATAGATAAGCCTTTTGTCGTTGTGCTAGGTCATGATCAAGTGAGCCGACGAAAATAAGTGCGTTGTTCTGGTTTCGCACCGTATGCCAAATGGTGTTTGAAATTGCGGTGGAAATTTAGCCCGAATGTATTTTTAACTTGTCTTAATTCGAGCACAAATATAACCACGGAGTGTCCGTTAAAAATATGAATATGTTCTTTGAGAAGGTGCACCCAAAATCAAATTCCCTCAGACCTCTCATTAGACCACCCACACCGCCCTCGGTATGATCACGACACTTATCGAGTCTGTTGGTCAGCAGCTGCTTTATTGATT